GTCCTCCTCCTCCTCCTCCTCCTCCTCCTCTTCCTCCTCCTCCTCCTCTTCCTCCTCCTCCTCCATCTGATCACTGTCATCTTCAAATCATCAACCACCACTTACTAAATCCCCATCATCACGTTTGAAATGTCCGCCCTCCCCCATCGTGACATGATGAACATTATCTTGTATCAACAGAAAATCGCACATGAGTTCGCACTCCTGCAAGTGAGTGAGCAGCTACTTGGATCAGGTGGCATTCTCCTCCTCCTTTTGTTGCCTGCTTCTCCTGCTATTCTTCTATTCCCTCTCCTCTCCCTCCCTTCTTTTCTACAAGCATCTTCCTCGTTTCGACTATCTCTTCTTTCTTGACCCCCCTCGTTCGCATTGTCTCTTCATATCTCGACCTTATCATCTCACTTTTCTCTCAGGATCTGGTTGGTCCGTAGGATCCTTTGGCTGCGCAGAGAGTCATTACAGGTTGTTTGCTCTACATTTGACCCTCCTTCTTCCTCCTCATCTCGAACCTTGCAGACTTCTCTCTCACATTGCCAAGCACAACATGACTCGAGCGCTGGTCCTCGAGCACGACAGCAAACTCCCGCAGGGGATATCTCCCAGCGCAGCGGGCAAGATCTTCATTGTTGTGTGAGACTTGGCTGATGTTCACATGCAGGAATTATCCTTGCCGACGCCATGAAAGCTGCGCCGGAAGACGCTGAGGTGGTCTGCCTGTCTTACCTACCATGTCTGATCCTCTCCTGCCAGCTGCTCTTCGTCGGTCACTGTCACCCCCGTTGGATAGAGAGGGAGAACGCCTTCTGGGTCAGAGGAGGTGCTTGCTGCACCCATGGGTACATCGTGTCTTGGGCCGGAGCCATCGTCATCCTGAACGCGGTGAACCATGTTTCCAAACTGACCCTCGCAGCATGGGGATTGTAATGATGAGATGATTTGAGTCTTGCAGATGAATCCTTTGTGGGCGCCGATCGACGAGATCATCCGTGATCTTTGCTTCACTTCTCAGTTGTCGTGTTACCTGCTCGTCCCCGAGGGCTCGTCCGATACCAGCAAGCGATTGCAGACTGGGGTGTTCGTACAAGATTGGCAAGATGTATCCTGAGTGGAGAGGAGCAAAATCTTGCTATATACACATCTAAGGGAGTAGGCAGCATATCTTAACTTGTCCAAGACAAAGTAGTCTTCAACTTGTCTTCATTCTACAGTGAAGTTAACCTCAACCGATCGGTTCAAACCTCGAAGCTCCTCGGTCGAGCATGCGTTCTGCTGGTCCCAGCCTTTGCCACCGACAAAGACTTCTACCTGACACGTTAGAGTGTAGAGCCCAATCTGAGATGATACATATCAATACAGACTACCATGCAAGAGACTGCAGAGAGAAACAACGTGGCATGTGAAATACCTCCAAGTCCCACAGCGATAGAATCATCCAACAGGTATTTTCCTGTTTGCTCCATTGTGAAAACATCCTTTGCACCATTCCAAGAAGACCTGAATCAGATGACATCTGCATATATCACTCCGCATGGAAGTATGCTGTAGCATGTCATATCCTTCAGTGACCTGCAAGTAATCGATTCCTGTCAAGGTGCAGAAAACGGGGAAAGAGATTAAGGTCTCGCCTCCAGTGCAACTTGACAATCCGAGCAATGCGCAAAACACCTTACAGGTGTCAAGTGCTCAAGAAAAGTTGATCATCGAGGACTGTACCAAGGATGGAGCTGTGAGATTTTCACAGAAAGCCTCAGGGATTCCTGCAGTTCATATGTCAAAACTGACCAGCGGGTTGTTGACATTCTGCACACTTGCAGTACAACAGAGCTTGAAAACGTCTTGTTTGCAAGTAGAACAGTCGACAAATGATTCCCAACCCTATCAAGCACCTTGAAAGAGGCAATAGCAAATCAAATATGCTGAATTCATAGGATCGTCACAGCACATGCAATAGTTCAACTTCAGGCGTTTCTCTCTGCCTGTCATGAATCCTTGAAACGTCTGGCAGCCTTGAGCTCGATGACGTGAAAGCCATATTCCTCATCTTCCAGATGTCAACAATATGTTGATAGCTCAGCCTTCTGCTCTCTTCTATATCCCTTGTTCTCTTCCAACAGTGAATTAGATTCTTTTTCTTCCTTCGAAATAGGAAACCTCAAGCATCTCCCACATGCTGCTCGCTTCCGAGCTACGTGACCCAGGCTCAAAGCGCACATCTTGCAAGGAATTCAACTTACACTATACTCCAGCTCGGATTCATGAATGGATAACTGTCTCTTCCCACTGTTGCCTGCAGGAGCATCATGGGACATTTTTAGAACAGAGTTTCCTTCACCCAGGTAAAATCAATCAAACACAGAACTCCTGGTGCGAGATCAGCTAACATACGACGATGGGAAGAGAAACACCATCTTTCACACAAAGATTAGGAGACGATGGCCAACCGAGCCCTAGCCAGTCATTGTGGAAGACCTGCCTTCAATTTTGATGTCTTGCTGGAAAGTCATGAGATCCCCCTTCGTACCTGAACGTTGTCTAGGATCGACAAGATTTCCTTCATTTGTTCCTTCCAATCACCTGATCAGAAACATCAATGGAAGAGTTTGCAGATGCTTGGAATTCAATCATTACAAGGAGTATTTTCATGTTGAAGCACCTCCCCACAATCGCTCAGATAAATGCTTCCATCTTTCTCCTGCACAACACTCAGAAGCTCTCAATCTCTCATGGGCGCATGAGAATCACATCAACGGCGATGATCCTGGGAAAGTAGCGATAACTGCTAACATCGTCATCTTGCGTTTTACATGTCGACAGAAAGGCCGCTATGCAGATGCCTGACCGCGTTAATCGTTGAAGAATCTTGGCTTCTCGCAGCAACCTGAGCAAGGGAAAAGCATCAGATCACGTTTGAGGCCATCTGCCCATCTAACTCACTTTTCTCTTGCCTCTGCATACTCAAACGATCCTGACATCGTCGTCACTCGACTCACTCCCAACCAAAGGGCTACCGCTGTCGAGCAAGGGCGTTCTCTTACGGATTAGCTGCAATCACCATCAACATTTCCCACAGATGCTTCTTTGCCGATCAAGGCACGTACGCCGTTGGACAGACGATGTATCGTGGATGATTGGTTGTAGAAGTGGAAGGGTCGGCCGTTAGCTTCACCTCCCAGGGGGGACAGTAAGGCTCCTTCCATGTCGGCCCAGTCTCCAAGGCGACCTGCGAAAGGCTCACACTACTCGCATGCATCGAGGGATTCTCGAGGATCTCAGAGGTTACATGCGTCATCCGATGAAGCAACTTGACCTGTACTTGCCACCCGTTACTGCTCATCAAGGGAGGGGAGGAGGGCTGGACAGTGACGACACCTTGATTCTTCGAGCATGAGAGCTCGGATGGCAACGCGCAGAGCAGACAGAAGACGAAGCAGCATTTTCTCCCTTCACATGAACGCATCAGAGCTCCGCTGAGAAGGAGCCGCGTGCTTCTCACCCGCCCCCTTCCAGCCTCTCAACCATGTGCCCCCCATCGTTCACATGACGCTGTGCGGCACAATATTATTACTCAACCCTCTTGCCCGGTGACAAAAGTTTGTGGGTCCCTTTCCCGCGCTTTTCATGCAAGGAGAGGACGTGAGGGTCGAGGAAGACTCGCCGTCCAATGTCGTGATCGACCTTGCCTGCAGCTCGGAGAGCGACAGTGAGCATGGGCCGAAGGATGTGAGAATGCGCTTACGGGAGAGATCGGCGCGGGCAAGTCGGACCACCATCAATGGTGGGTGAGGCCATGGCTGTTGGGTAGCTGCTGATGAGATCACTCGCAGACGATGACTCTGATATGGAGGATTTCCAACCACCGAAGTCTAAGAAGCAAAAGTCACTCGCCTGCTTCTTCCGTACGATAGAAAAGCAGGTGAACCGGAGGCCTTTACACAGAAGTCACTAACATAAAACGTTCAGGATAACATTTGCAAAGGCAGTGGCACGAGTAAGTCTACGAGCGACAGAATGAAAGAACAGCAAGACAGTCACAACACTGACGACATTGAGACTGTCCAGGAAAGCGACGATGACGATGTGCAAATACTTGAGGACATTCATCCCCCGAATCCTTCCACACCACGTCACACACGGGAACCATCCTGCTGCAAGGCACCAAGGAATTTCATTGATGACGAAGATATCGAGATAATCACAGATTACGATGAAAACATTTCAGCACACAAGATGGATTATGAAGGGTCGATACATCCGTCCATGTTTAAGGTGCTGAAGCCACACCAAGTGGAAGGTGTTGAATTCATGTGGGGGAACGTCGGTCCTGTCAAAGATCCAAGAGGCTGCATTCTTGCTCACTCTATGGGACTAGGAAAGAGCCTGCAGGCATTCTTTGGAAATGATTTTATCATTTGCAAACGTAACTTATCATCAGGTTGTGACTCTCTTGCACACTTTTGCGCAGCGGCAGGTGTCTTGAGCATTGATGTAAATGTTTTCATGACTTCATTGCCTAGCTCATGAGAGGCGAAAAGGCGCGCTGCCTCCTGCTTTTACCATCGACATTACTACAAAATTGGAAACAAGAGTTTGATAAGTGGCTCCCCAAAGCTAAATTGGGGACTCAAAACCTCCTTCCTCGACACCTGGTTTCGTCCAAAAAATATCCGAAATTCAGCGATCGACTGCAAGTTATCAGATCTTGGTCGACGTAAGTTTAAAATTGCCTTTCTGAAAGTGTAGATAGACTTATTTCCACTCTTGATCCGATTGGAGAGACTGGAGATCCATTAGTTTTTCACTGAACTTTCCTACAGAAGACAATCTGGCGTCATGGTTATGGGTTATGAAATGTTCACAACGATTGCCTGCTCCTCAGACTCTGCAGCCAACAAGGTCAACTCAGTGAATTACTTGGAGTGGGATGTTTAGTTCAATTTCTCATGACATGTACTATTTTGAAGGCTGCTTCCTTACTTTACGAAGGAACCGACTTGGTGATCTTAGATGAAGGCCATAGACTCAAAAATGACAAAGTTAGCTGCTTCTGCTCGATCACAATGCATATACTGATTCGAGATTTAGTCAAAAATATCAAAAGCTATTCGTGGATTGCAGACGAAAAGAAGAATTATCTTGACTGGGACGCCTATCCAGGTGAGATTGTTTGTCATTCTCATGTCGTTAGATTTTCGATAGAACAAATTGGAGGAATACTGGTGCATGGTTGATTTCGTTTATCCAGAGTTTTTGGGTTTGTTCATCCAAAAATCATTGCTGTTCATTTCACACTGGTGCAGGCACTAAGAAGAGATTCAACAACCTATTTGCAAATCCGATAAAATGTGGCATGTTAGCCGATTCTGAGATGTCAAAAGTGCGAATGGTTCGTTTATGCCTTTTGTAGATGTGCTTTAAGGTCCCAAAAGCTGATGGTTGTTCATTAGGGGAAACGACGAATGCATGTCCTTGTCAAGAAGCTTGCCCCCATTGTACAAGTAAGTCGTTCGTTCCTCTATCATGAAGATCGCTCTGATCTATTTCAGAGACGAGATGAATCGATTCTTCGAGCTTTGTTGCCCCCCAAGCAAGAATTCGTGTTATACACGCGCCTCTCTGAAATTCAACAGTGTTTATATCACGAATTACTGCAATATCACAAGTCTATTTGTCCCCAAGCTAGAGGAGAAGATGGAGATGTAGCCAAATGCAAACATTTGCTTCCATCACATGCTGCCATACAAAGAATTGTTAATCATCCAGATATTTTGTGCCATGCGCTTCAATCTGCTCAGAAGGTATGCCTTTGTCAAATAGTATTATTACTGATCGATTAATTCAGAAGACAACCTTGACAAAATGTGACATGCCAAAAAAGGTTCAGTCAAGCTCATTAAAGAGTCGGACCCCATTGAATTCCGAGTATATTTGTCATTGTACGAAGTTTTCCCTCTGAAACGATGTGGAAGGAACAATGATGGAAAAGCCAGTTTAGAAGCTGGTGACAAGATATTGGAGACAAAGTGGGCCAATGAGGTATCATCTGTGCAGAAATCATCAATCGGAAAGTCTGATCCTTGATCTGTACAGAGCTTTGATGAAATAGAAGAAACAAATGAAGAAACTGCAGAACAAGAAGACGAGAAGTTGCTGAGGATTGGGTTGTTTGAATGGGCACAGAAGTATTTGGGCAGCGACTATGAGAGAGGGCATCTTGATCACGGTGGAAAAATGTTGGTACTGATGGATATTCTCAACGAAGCCGTGAAACAGGGCAAAAAAACTTTAGTTTTTTCTCAGTATGTTTCTGCACTGAACGTGGTGGAAGAGTACATCCAACGCCGAAACAAAGAAGCCAAATTGAAATTAGGGAATGACTGCAAGTTGATAAGGCACCTCCGACTGGATGGATCCACTCAGCAATCTATGCGGCAAGATCTTGTGTATGTCAATTCTGCAATCCAAATGCAAACTGAGTTCACTAACTTCGAACCTTGTGGATGTGCAGAAACAAATTCAACAAAGAAGATTCCAAATGTAATGTGTTTCTAATTACGACACAAGCTGGTGGTTTCGGCTTGAATTTGCCATCGGCTTCGCGGGTTGTGATTCTGGACGCTGTGAGATTTTCGTTTCACTCTATTTGTTAAAAAGTATAACCAGTTATTACAGGCGTGGAATCCTGCAAACGATGCGCAAGCATCAGTACGAGCCTTCCGGCTTGGCCAGAAGCAGCCAGTCTTTGTATATAGATTTATTTCGTATGGAACGATGGAGAATTCGGTATACGATCGTCAGGTCGGGACATGTGCTGAAATTGTACAAAAAATGATTCATTGATATGCAGGTTAGCAAAATACAGGTTTCAAGACAAGTTGTTGATGATACAAATGTTGCTCGAATATATACTTCGCGGGACTTGGATGAGCTATTCCGTCTTTCCCTTCCTGCCCGTCAAGCCCAAGAAGGACCGGAGATTTCGACCTCAGCTCAAAGGGCGATGATGTCTGGACACATTGTTGACAATGTTTTGCTCAACGTCTTGAAAGGTCCAAATATCTTTCAACGTCACTTCCTTGAGCTAACATCTTCTGCATTGATCAGGAGATGGCAAGCTATGGATATCCAAGATTGGACGTCATGATGATGCGATCGAAGAAGACAACTCGGAGGAACTGACCACTGAGGAGCAACGGCAAGCCGAAGAAGAAGACGAGCACTTTGAAAAGGCTGGCACCGTATTTGAAAACAAGGCTCAATCGGGAATGGCATATGGGGATCATGGGCGAGGATTGACAGCGCATCCTCCCAGCGCTCGGATGTATATGGTGACCATCCCACCGAGCTTCATTCCGGGGGTGCATTCATCTATCAAGGTAGCTTGACACTGATTCCTATCAGCATGCATCGGAGCTGACGAAAGACATATTCTGGAACAGGTGCCTGTGAATGGCGAGCATTACATGGTGCGAGTTCCCCCCGGATACTACCCTGGCATTCGGTTCACTTTCGACATAACCTTCGCTCAGAAGATCAGCGAACCTGTGTGATTTATTGCAGCGATGTACGGTATGAATCCTGTAGCTTTACTCACATACACCAGGCTGAAGGAGATCAGTCTACTACCATATTTGACTACAATGCCCCTGTCCCAGTCCCCGATGGCATTAAAGCACTCCTCCCATCCTCCCCTACTTCACCACAGCGGCCGGCAAGCCTGACGTGCCCGGCTCGTCCTGTCCACTCAAGCCCTTTTGCTTGGCCTCCTTGTGAAGATCTTTCACATGCTCGACTCGGTGGCTGTGCGGATGAATGTCATGCAGGGTAGACAACTTTACACTTTGAACGAGCTTCGGTGTACGATACTATCGCACTAAACTCTGCATCAGTCATTTAGACTCGCTCGGAGGCTAAACTGTGCACACGCAAGTTTAGCAGACGGTTGCTTGTACTTGTACTTGCACGCTTTATCAAACGATTTGATCATACTACTTGAGTAAAGGCCGAAACTAGATAAAGTCTCTTTACTCAGCTAAAGTCTCTTTACAGGCTAAAGTCAGAGTGTTGCTGGCGCCGGCCCGGATGCCTACTCACGCCGCCGTCACGGGTTCCGAGGCCTTCCGCACCGTGACTCGCACGTGACGATGATACAGGCTCAGTGGGGCACCGGTGCATCACACAGGAAAACCACCGGGTACCTCCGGAAAACACCGGCAGTGTTGTAGTACCTCCGGAAAACACCGGCTGTATCCACGGAGAAGTTAATTCAGTGAGCCCTATGGCAATATGTAGCCACCACCCCACCCTCGTCTCTCCTTTGAGCGTACCCCCCCAATCAGCTACTGCCCGTCTTATTCGACTGTCATCATTTTGGGACGAGTCTTCGTGACACAAACCTTTGCCTTCTTCTTCTTGACGACGCGTTTTTCATCGTTCGACCTTGTTTCGGGCACGACAAACCTTGAACGCACGCACGAACCACAAGAGCCCCAGCATTGCACAAAGGTATCCATTCCCCAGGAACAGGAGCAACAGCGAACAAGGGCAAGGGCAAGGGCAAGGGCAAGGGCAAGGGCAAGGGCAAGGGCAAGGGCAAGGGCAAGGGCAAGGGCAAGGGCGAGAGAAAGTAGCAGAAGCGAATGACCGCTATGGCCGTGGCTCCAAAGTCATCAAAGCACTCATCCCGTCCTCCCCTACTTCACCACGCAAGCAAGCCTGACGAGCCCGGTACGTCCGGTCCTCTCAAGCCCTTCTGCTTGGCCTCCCAGCGCAAGACCTTTCACATGCTCGACTCGGTGGCTGTGCGGATGAAATACAACAGGGAGGTAGGAGCGATGCTGCAGGCAGACTCAGGAAGGGGAGAGGGGAATAAAGGAGATGCAGGGTGGGGGGGTTTGAGTCATCAGTGCGGAGGTTCTATTTGAATTATTGAATAAAAAGCCATCGCACAAAGTCATGTGCTGCAAGAGCCTGGGCATTGCGGATGCCTCAGACAAGCACATCAGCACAGTCGTGAGCCATGTCTGTTTAAATCCAGCGTAGGCATCAAACTCGAACATCATAAGAATTGAGACACAGATTGAAACCCAAAAATCTGCGAGGCATGACTCGCACTTTGTGACACCTGAGAATTTCTTTGTTTCGAGAAAAATACTAATGGAAAGGTTCCAGACTGCAGAATGACTTAAAGGTGGAACGCGTCCGGAGAGAAATTCACTGCCTTCTCGCGTCTCCGAAATCCCAAATATGCGCAAAAATTTATGCTCGCGCAAGGAGAAGAGCACAAGGAAAGATATTCACAGTCAACTACACAACAAATCTACGTCATGTCGGAAGAAATAGAACAGCTCAGAAATTAAAAGGAGGAGAACGATATTCATAGGGCTGCACTGTGCAGCCCTGTGCGAGATGGTCTCATACCCTGAATGGTAGACAACAGCAAAGCATGAAGATTCTGGCATGGAGGTTGTCAACAGGCAGAGGCGCCGATGGGCAGAGGTGACATCAACAAGTAAGATGCCCATAGCTTGTCGAAGTACCGTTTTGCAGTGGAGATATCATCTGCTACATTTTCTTGCACAATTTAAATCAGGACACTACATTTATCCCATCACATCGTCTTCAAAGATCATCCACCAGATCGCTCAAAGTGTAAAGCCGTCCGCCATTCATGACATCCTTTCTATGGTAAGGACTCATCAAACAATCTTTTCATCTTTGTAGTTCAATCAAAATCAATAAAAAAAGTAGTGTACAGCAGCTATTCTCTATCACATCCCAAGCAAGCTAAACGCTAAGTTGAGGTTAACTCCTTGTTTCTTCCTTCGTTTAACTCTTAAATTCTGACTGAATCATCGCGCCAATTTCTCTGTTGTAGTCCTTTCGTGCCATAGATGACTTTGGTGATAGGTTGGCATGCTTCCTGGGGCAGAACACCTCCAGCACCCCCTCTGAATCGTCCTGCTCATCGGAGCTGCTTCCACTTTCCTCCTCGCGTCTCTGGCTGTAGACAGCAAGTCTGCATGGAGTGCTCTCCTGCATGACTTTCGCAGTCTCCTTGTCATCCTTGTGCATAGCAGGAGTGTAAACAGCAATCACCACCATGGCGGGCTCGTGAGTGCGAATAATTTCCCGTCCTCGGTTTTATACAGTAGTGACTTCTTAGCCCACCCCTCCATGCAAAAGTCACCCTACCCACCCCAAGTGGTCAATTCTTTTCGATACCCCATAATTTCACCATTTATTCAAGGGTTCTCAGACCATCTCCACCCTTCTATGCGGAATAAGTCAGTGGTGTACCCCACCCCTTTCCCCTCAAAGTCATCATCAGGAATGTAGTAAATATCACCCTACCCCCAATAGATATAATCATCAGACCCGGTACTGAAAAGATTTTACGGTTGCATCTCAAGAAATGTACTGGATCACCCCACCCCTATCCCCCTGTTTTTCTGTCTGAAGGGTACCAATACCCCCACCCTCACGAATGACTTATGATGTACCCCTCAAAGCCCTTTTTCCGGTGGTTCAATTTATTTGTCAAATGGCGTTTCCCGAATCGTTGAGTTTTCAGTACGATATGAGCAAGCTAGCAACGAAGATGCCATGGGATACCGCGTGATTGCCCTGTATTAATCAGTTGTACGCTCATACCCCAACGATTCATGTAAACAAGTGTTTTATCACGTTATAATATATATTATCACCACAAGTAATTGAGGCGGGCTCCCATTCTCCGTCAGCCGGCGTAACTTGAAAATTCCTTCCTCAGACATTTTTCTGTCACGCACAGTGTCATGAAGTTACACCCCGGGCCCCGGGCCGGGGGCCTCGCCGGAAGCATGAAGAAGGCCTGATTGTCCTCGTACTGATTTTTAACTTAACTTTGAGTAAAAAGAAGAAGGGTAAGGTCAGTTTTTTACTCAAAGTTACGGTAATACGGTGTACACTGTGCCCCGGGCCCCGGGCCTTGCCGAAGGTGCTCAACTGACTCACTACTGTAATAAAACGGCTGGCGGCAGCGGCACGTGCAGAGGCCAACATTTATGGCAGCGGTTCGTTGGAGCGCTCGCAGAAGCGACCAGCCTGCCGTCGTGGACACAGTGACCTGAGACCAACTTCTTGAGGGATCAGGACAAGTATCCCTGGTCCTGTTCTGTCATTACGAACGATGTTGTGATGCAACATCGCCAGCTTCATGCTCCACAACGGAAGCTGATTGAAAGTCGAGATGGATGGAAGGTCGGATATCCCCCCTGCTCGTTTTCTGCTGTCCTAATGTGCCTCGGCTTGCATGTTCGAGTGATGATCTCAACCCTTCTGAGTCGCTCATGCGGAAATTTAAAACGTTTTCCATTTTCGGGGATCTGACTCATGCCTGTCCTGCTTCTCTTGTTTAGAATGTGTGGTTGTTTGTTAGCATTGCCTCACATGGTATTGCAGGCACCAGCAATGAGGCGTTGAATGCATTCAACAAGATCACATAAAGGCGACATTTCCTTTTTTCTTCAACCAACACTAGCAACTGGTGAGAGGATCGGAATGTCTTATCGTTTGGTTTCATCCCCCAATGATAGCTATACAAACTTGAAAATCAAAATCTCTGACTGACACTGAGGAAACTTCTGAGCTGTTTCTTGAGGGGTTTTCTCCTGTCTTCCTTTCTTGTGCAGAAGATCTACACCGCCCTTGCTTACAAACATGAGCAGGTCAACTGGGTGCCGATACAAGGATTAGTTGCGATGATCACTGCAGATCAGGATACGCAAATTGTAACGAAGTAATAAACGCTGTCAAACCGGAGGATTCAGCTTGTTTTATTCTTTCCTTCATCCTAGAATGTTTTGCAGCATGTCATATAGACTTCCCTTGTTCCCTGGTTGTGTAGCTCCTCTTCCATCTGCGATCGATTCATTGACATAGCAGCTCAATACACAAGATAACCTTGAAGAGCTGGTGAAGAAATACTGGGTTTGGATGTTGGCGTCTGACCCTGAAGGACACAAAGTGTTTAGAGGTTCCCATCGAAACAGCTACAACCTCCCAACCTTGTCGTTTGGTTTCTTCGAGATCACACCTACAGGAAACGGAGATCAGTAAAGCTTCACCAATGATCTGGGTACTGCATCGCTGACCTGGTGAATTGAATTTCTTGCCATGCATTCCTGGCCAGCCGGTGAGACAGAATAGCATGAGATGAGCAACACACCGTAACTCAAGTCTACAGCAGCTTCGGCGCGGGCGGAAAGCGTGGGAGGAAGCATTCTTTTGGAGGGAGTGTCTTGGTTCATTTCTGCTCTCAGTCCCTCCTTGTTAATTACAGATCGAGCTTGATCGATGCGCATGGATGCTTCCGCCTTCTCGTTGTCTCCTGCAGTCCAGTCAGCGCTTTCCCTGTTTTCGCGTCAGTTGGATGGGTACGGAATCTCTGTCCGCGACGCTTGATGCCCCTCAATTTCCTATCACATGAGATCATGAGCGTCAAGAGCAGAGGGTTGACGTAGAGGTGAGGCGGAGAGAGAATGATCAAGGAGAGCATGGGGGATGGACGCCTTTATCTTATGACACTTGGAGGACACTTACCTTCTTTCTTGCACGAACTCTGGGTCGCTTCCTCCCCACAACTTTCATGCTCGTGAGACATCAACACGCAAGAACTTGTGTGGGGAGTACCAAGGTGCATCCACAATCAGAGCATTTGCAAACTAGTTCGTTCCTCTTGTTGCTATGCCTTCCTCGACTTCATTTCATCCAGGACAAGACAAATAGTCAACATCCAAGCTCGTTAAGGGCATGCAGAATACCTCTTTCCATCGAACCACGTCCTCATAGCAACACGTTTCACTACTCCCTTGCACTGATCGTCTGTTGACTTCCCTTCCTGCGCTTCTTTCACCTGCAGGATTGTCAACTGACATCTGACTGAACTGCTCGCCCTGACCTTTCCTTCCGTCTTCTTCTTCTTGTGTTTCGTACAAACCAAACGAAATGTGCAGTTGATGCCCTTGAAGCCTATAAGCCAATGCAAGAGTGCAAATCTCAACACGGTCTTACCGGCCGAAGGAACGCCGAGCAGTTTGTGCAGAATCTCTTCATGACAGAGTCTTCCAACTTGACACATGCACTGAGACTTTGAGTCAAGATCGACTAGACCATGGAAGCCATTGCGAGCAAGCGAGCGAGCAAGTTGCGGCAGCTGAAGGTGCAGCTTGCCGAGGAGCGTCAACAAGGAAGACAAGCACACACGTCCGAATGGATGGATATCGCAGACCCGAGGATTGTGGAATGCTGGGGAGTGAAGGGAGGACACTCGAGACAAGGGGAGGGGCGAACACGGCTCTCCTCACCATGAAGCCGTCTCTCGTAGAGTTGATATCATCCTCCTCCGCATCTCTGCATCCCTCACCACATGCGCCCCGCGCCATAGCGCCTCCATCCTCCCTATCACCCCAGCCATGCGCACGTGTAGTAAAGTGGGACCGCACGGGTTGGCAAAATTCAGGCCATGGAGAGGGGGAGATGCTGTGTGGAGGCAGGTGTGGAGGAGGATGGAGGGAGGAGGGAGCATCCTTGGGGAAGCAAGGCTGAGATGACAAAGACTGCTTACAAGGAAGGAGGATGGATGGATGGAGTGGTGGGCAAGGAGAATGCAGTGCTGAAATCGAGGACGCGTGCAAGGGTAAATGCCATTAAAGCTGGACAGCAGGGAGGGCTTGAGAGCCTGCATAGCTAGATTTCGTTTTCTTGTTGGACTTTGCATAGCTGATGGTTGATGATCTGGAGTATGAAAAACCGCTCTCTGACATGTGAGCCACCAATCTGCTTGCTTTCATTCCTGATCACCAGCCAGTTGCTGAATCAAGATCTTTCGGACTTCCAGTCAAAACTTTTCACTCGACTCCTACGAAAGCAACCAACACTTTTTGGTTTCAAATTCAACATTTCTCAGCGGTTTGGTTATGTCTTGCAGTAACTCAGCAGTATGCCATGCTGTGTGATCCGAACGAAAAGTGAGAGCGTTCCTATCATGTATTTGGTCTTCCATCTCACGCCTCTGTATCTAAAGATCGGAACCATAAAGAACGGTTTATAAGCATTGATATTTTTTCTAGTTCTTACTAGTTATCTTTCCTATTCCAACACTCAATTATTGACCTCTTCGTAGTCTGTTCTAGAGTATGGCATGTTTGTCATCGATTGAAGATAAAGTAATACGCAACATTGTTTATCATGTCTTTGTACATCTGCCGCTGTGGTGCTCATGGTTGTGAGTGCATTCCACCATAGCACTTCCTGCCACTCCTTTGTTCTTCTAATTTTCGGGTTTCTAATTTTCTTTCTTCATGAAAGATTTGTAAAACACGCCTGCGGAAGGTTAACGTCAATTTTGTTTGACGAGACATCTTGCCGCACGAAAGCTTGTCGTTCGTGTAACTGAACACGTGTGATTGCATCAAATACGCTTTTGTATGGCGCAGGTTGTAAAAAGCATGTCAGTTTTATTTGGAAATAAATAACAAAGATTAAGAGAATCCAAAGCAATCTAGCCCTCAATAAATAGTTTTTCCATCGATCTCAGACTGAAGCAACGCACCTATCTCTCTGTTATAGTTCCTCCGAACCATCGAAGATGTTCTTGAGAAGTGCGCATGCATGATCGGGCAGAACACCTTGAGCTTCCCAGCTGGCCGAACCTCCTCCCGCTCGTCGGAGCTGCTGCTATCCTCCTCATGACGGTTGGAGAAGACTGCAAGTCTCGTAGAAGGGGCGTCTTCCAACTCTCTCTCCATGTTCGGCTCCTCTTCGATCCTTTCTTTGCGGAAAACAGCAATGCATGTCGGTGCCATGTCGTGGTCTTTGATTTGGAGTGATGTGCAAAAACACTCAAGTTTTAATGCTCTCTGCCTTTCCCTACCCTACCTCTGCTTCGAACCCCCCTACCCTGCACCCCTCAAAATAAAACTTTTGCAATTTGTACCGGTACATTTGATATTGGATTAACCGGTAATAAATGAAAGATCCATTTGAGTACCCGTCCAATGCATACCCCCACCCTCAAAAAACTATGTGGTAAACTCTCCCTGTAGTAAAGTACATTCCTGGCTTGGAAAGACATCAAGCTCCCCTCAGATTGATTTCTGGAGTCGTCCAAAGGACAGCAAGATTCAGAACCGAATCCGTTTAAGAGGACATTCCGTTGTCTCCTTCATGCCATAGAAAAAAATTCATTTTTCCTCGCACGTTCAGTTGAGTGTGGTAAAGAGTCACTTGTGTGGTAAAGGAAGAGTTTCCGTGTAACCAATTCATGTGTAGTAAAGAAGACTCACAACCGAAAATCGGGCAACGCCGTGTTAATCAACTAGTCCATGTGATGCACAGAGTAGCGCGGGTGGAGGAGCTGGAGGAGGAGCTGGGTAAGGCGAGGGATGCGAGGGGAGGAGGAGATGCTGGAGGAAGGGATATGGAGAGGCATGGCTGGTATCCGCAGAAGACGCGGGAGGGCTTCATGGAGAGGACCGTCAGATTATCCCGCAAGTCCCCGCAGGCATGCGGTGCCATGTTAGGATACCTCATCTCAAGCACGCACAGGAGAAAGAGGTGGCATAAGACGAATGTCTTGCACTCGTCGGAAGAAGGATGGAAGCTAGCGGCAGACAACCCGGAGGACAAAGTGTTCGAGGCTTCTAGCAGGACCCTGAGCGAGTTCCCAACGCAGTTCAATCTACATGCACCTGCCAGAATCCTTCATCTGTGGGGTGACCTGAGGCTTACAAGAAAGATGATCATGATTCTGCTCACGAGCAACCGCTCTCGTGTTGGAATGCTCGAGCGAAGTCTGGCAACGGCCTCGAACAAGCAAGACGCCAGGACGGCAGAGCTGGAGCTCAAGGAAACGGAGCTAGAGCTGGAAGCCATGGAGCGTCAGTCGGAGAGGCTGAAACATTTGATCGAAGCAGCAGAGGAGAGATTTGTAGACGGTCCTTTGATTCCTCCTCTTCTGTTCCAGGAGCTGCAGGGATGCGAATGGCCGCTAGGGAGGGCGATCGGGGATGACAAGGACTTTGTTTTCAGCATGAGCACCTCGCAGCTTGAAGAGGTCCTGAAGGAGGTGCTGAGAGGCATGAAGGCAGCCAGGACGGTAGAGAACTCTCCGACGACTCGGACTCGACGGGGGAAGGAGAGGGCAGCTGCAGAAATGAGGTACGACTCGCAGGACCATGGGGGATTCTTCGAGAGGGATGAGATGGAGGATCATATCGTGGGGACCCTGTCGAGCATGTACGATGCCGCGATCCCGCTGCAAGCTCTAGCGCGGCGCTACCTTGGGGTGCAGGAGAGCAAGAGGAGGAGAGAGAGCTACAAGGTGGAGGATGAGAAGATCAAGTTGATACAGTCCTTCACCAGGAGGATGATCGAAGGGTTCAGAGGACGAGAGCTCCTGCTCGAGCTGCGGAGGAAGGCAAGGCTGGAGCAGCTGGGAGCCGACACTCAGATTCTGGACATGCTCGCCTATGCCGAGGACGGAGACTCCTTCACAGTACCCAAGGGAGAACACTTCCCAAAAGTGACGAACCTCTCGGAAGATGTGGATAATCTTCAGAGGGAGATACGAGTCGTGTCAGCTGCGGGGATTCGGGAGGGATCGGTGATAGTGGTGGGGCGGGAGATGATGGAGGTATGCGAGAAGCACGGGGAGGCGCTGATTGTGAGGCGAAAACCGCCCAAGATGCTGTGGGAGATGCTACAGGTATACAACAAGCTCCAAGAATGCACGTCGAAGGAGGAGTGCGTGCGCGGACTGTGGGAGAAATTCATCAGCATCGCTCGGCACTACAACTCTGCAGCCACTGCTCTGACTGAGTCGGACTGGATCAATGGGGTGAAAGCCTTGCTGGGTTATGATAGAGATGCCCAAGTGCAGATTTTTCGCGCCCTGCTGAGGCAGCAACATGGTATGAAGTTACTTTACCTTCTTTCCTGTGACGTTTTCTTGCTCACGTGTCTGTGGGTTGTTAGGCTCCGTAAATGACATCGTCTTCTCTAAGATTTTCAATCGGCAAGTTGAGAATCCAGCAGAAGAGCTTGAACAAGACTCTTGTACGTCGTGTTCGACATTGGAGCGTTGAGATTGAACCTTGTTCGCAGATGTCTACACCCCGAGAGAATTCGAACAGATTGCCGAGAAGATGTTGGAAGTGATTGAATTCAAACTGTCTATTCCCTCTCAATGACACGTCACACCCTAAGATGTGGAGCAACAAGTTCTCCTTCGAGGACCATGAAAGGGTCAACACGGAGGTGCCGAGCAGGATTTTCTCGATCAAGATCCTTGATCTCATCATTCAAGAGATTGACGAGTTTCTGCAGACAGGTGAGAAGAGTATGGATGGCAACATCCCGGTGACGATGATCCTCCAGGTGTTTCTTTGAGAGAAGATGTGATCGTCGCATACTTCAAACGTGCTGTTCAAGAAGTCTACAACAAGAGCTTTCCAAGGACACTTTCTTGCTCCCAGTGGCATCAGGTGGGCTGAGAATGGAAGGATGGTTGTTGTCTCGGTGCTGACACGCCTCTTGCAAGGTCTTCAAGGACGTCGATGAGGAATGTGAGGAAGTGTGCCCACATCCAGCAGAGGTCAGGGCATCGTGGCATTGCGCAACTGAGCTCATCCCCTGACTTGCTCATATCAGTCGATTGTGCGCGCAGAGGCTGAGATAAGGTAAGGAGCAATAGATTCTTGTCTTGGGCGATGTTGCAAGTGATGATCTTGTGTTGGTGACAGGGTCGACAAGGCGATCAGAATCTCTTCTGAGAAGGATGCCACGTTGCATTGTTGTCTCAAGTTGGAGTGTACGGATGTCAAGGTGAACAATGAGGCTGCAAGGAACAATCAGGTCTCAGACAATGACAGGTGTACAAGAGGAGCGTGCGTCTGCGCCATGGCCACACGACACAGGTGAACATGGAGCTGAGAACGGTGAAGACTGAACGAAGTGACATGTGGCAGACGCTTCTCTTGTACTTATCATCTCATGGAGAGAAAGATGGAGCGAGGTGTGTGTCTTGTATCCTTGTTGACAACAAGTTGACATCATTGAGTTAGAAGGCCCTTGAAACTCGTCGACAAAGACAGCAACGATGTCATGTGGAAACTCCCGTCAAAAGAGAATGACCCAAAGGTTGGTGGTCACTGCTGTGGATTCGTGTGCAAACAGGTGATGGTGGTACTAGATGACTCGTTCGTTAATGGAGCTTGAGGACGATGACACTGGCGATCACTGGACAAAGTTGTGCACGACTTGCACTCCTGAGTTACAGGTGAGATTGCAGGATAGATGTGGTGAGATGGCAAGATGAATTTCTGTGAGATTGGGAGAACGATGTATGTGAGGTAAAGAGATGGGTAGTGAGATGCGAAGTCTGTGATATTTGTCTTGATCAAACTGGTTGCGATGGTGTAAGTTGCGTTCGTGGTTGCAGGTCTTGCACGGGATATTGAAAGGAGCAGAGCTGGTGAGAAGTCGTGAGGGGAATGAGAGGATTGTAATGGGTAAAAACGCAGCTCATGTGTCGAATGCAAGACATTCACATACAATCTCGTATTGGGGATGCTCTGAGGTTGTAACTTGGTTCAACCCTTCTCTTTTCTCTTTTCTCTTTTCACTTTTCTCTGTTCTCTGTTCTCTTTTCTCGTTTCTCTCTCCTCTGTTCTCTGTTCTCTTTTCTCTCGTTTCTCTTCTCTCTGTTCTCTTTTCTCTCGTTTCTCTTCTCTCGTCTTCATCTCGTCTGTTGATCTAGAATCTGCTCAGGATCTTGGGAGGAACCTGGGAGATCTCAAGATGCCGACTGGAAGCGAATGGAGAAGTAACAAGGCTGATAGTTTTCCTTGACATCTTGACATGCATGACTAGCTCTTGACGACGACAGCGAGAGAAAGTAATGCAGTTGTTTGCGGGATGGGATGCAATGCAAAGGTTTCAAGCTTCCAATCACTTCTTCTCTGTCTTTTCTTTTTTCTCCTTCCTGTTCCTCTTCCTCTCCCTCTCTCTCCCTCGCCCCCACTCCTTCCCAACCCCTCAACTCTCCTCTCCCTTCCTCCTTCTGCTCTCTATCTCACCTCCTGTCATGTGTGTTTTCGCTATGCCTTCAATTGTGCTGATCAGTTTTCCTGCAAAGTTTTCCGATTGCTCTCTTGGCGGCTGGAGAGAAAATGAGAGATGTCAACACGCTCTTGTTGTCGCGGGGGGGAACATGTAATCTTCATCATCGTCATCGTCATCATCGTCATCGTCATCGTCATCGTCATCGTCATTATCATCACCACCACCACCTCAACTATCATCACCATCACCATCCTCATCCTTATCATCATCATCATCATCATCATCATCATCATCATCATCACCACCACCACCACCACCACCACCACCACCATCATCATCATCATCATCATCATCATCATCAACAGCAACAATATCAACATCATCATCACCACCACCACCACCACCATCAACAGCAACAACATCAACATCATCATCACCACCACCACCACCACCATCATCATCATCATCATCATCATCATCATCAACATCAACAAAGCTTATCTCATCATCATCATCAACAACAACAATAACATCAACATCACAATCAGCATCAAAATCAACATCAACAAAGCTTATCATGATCATCATGATTCCATTGCATGTTCTCATACACTCTTTCCATTTACGCTCTGCGCAGATTACAAAAGACCACCGTTTCTCTCAGCAAGAGCAAAGTGTCATTGATTTTCATCGTTTTATTCCGCTCCCTCACCTTCTCTTTCAGTTGTCTTTTGCTCGCAACTCTGCTGTTCGGGTCACTGGCAGATCCAACGTACAAATTGACAAGTGCAAGCTGTACAGGAAAGCCTTTCGATTGCGCTCGAAAAGATGATGACAAGGTTTGCGCAGCTGTGTAAATTTGTTTGACGCTCTGGGCTCTTTGGACTCCGACTTGTTCGTAGTAAGATGACGACGATTGCGTACATGATCGGAATGATCGAGACATTTCAGACGAACAACCAGATCGAGTCGTTCAAAGATGTTTGGGCAGACGGAAGTAACAGGAAGTTGACGTTCTTCGAGCATGGAAATATGATTCTCTCACCTGTGTTTCTTGATGGTACACTAGGCGCTGTATTGATTTCTTTACAGGAAAATCAGAAGTTTTCTTCCATCTCGGAATTCTGCGAGGAGAAAAGCAAGAAGACAGGCAGGATCGTGAGACAGTGAAGACACGAAAATCTGAGATGTTAGTTTTATTTCTCGTCTCACAATCACGTGCTTCGGGATCTCCCCGTTAATATGAAGAGGTACTTCAAATGTGGCACCGCCAGTTATCACTCGATCTGCAAACGAAGAGGACAAAGTGTAAGTAGATGCTATGAATGAACATGTTAATTTCTCATTACGAGCTCCATCTGCATCTTCCTTGATTTTCTTCCTCTGCGAGCAAGACAACAGAAGTAAGAACTCTACCAGCATGTCACTTTGAAGACAACCTTCATATAGCTGCTTCTCATAGTATTCTGACAAGGAGAACCCAAAGTTTTCAGCACGAAGGCGCTTCCAACCCTGAAAAAGGGCAGAGAGAAATATCAGCATCATCCGGCAGACTAGTACTTTGAAATTCCTTCTTGATCCTGTTGAGGAGCCTCGACCATCGGTTGAGATTTGTGTCCTTGGTAAGTCTGTTGAACATGAGAAACTCCTGAGATTCTCCTACAGAGCGATCAGGCACGACAATCAATGAGCCAGATGAAGGGAGGGATCAGAGACATGAAAGTAGGAGCAGGTGGAGGAAGAAGACAAAGTGAAGTGGAACAAGCGATGCAGTCATCTGAGGACGAAAGTACAAAAGGAGTAGAAGGGTGCTAGAGCACTCCAGGGGTAGAAGGGTGCTAGAGGACTTCAGGGGCAGCGTCATCGGTCTGAGAATGAGAAGAAGGTGGAGAGAGAAAGAGGGAGGGGGAGGGGGAGGGGGAGGAGGAGGAGGGAGAGGCGGAGCAACCTCGCTCGAACCAATTATGATGATCGATTTCTTCGACTGCTAGTGATGCTGGAGCCAACCAGACCTGAAGCCAACGATCAAGTCATCTTCCGAATCTCCGCCCGGTCTGCTGCTTCCCACAACACCCGATCCTTGTGCCCCAACATTTCTCGCAAGACAAGAAAAGACAATAGAGGCGGAGAAAGGCATAATGAAGTGAAAGAAAAAGTTCGTCAAGAGAGAAAAGAAAACGAGTTGAAAAGACACAAGCAGATAAGAACGCAACGGGGAGGAGAGGAAAATCATATGAGAGGATATTCTCAAGCAAACGTGATACGAGAAAGCGAACGAGTAACGATGGAAAGGATCTACAACAATTACCTGTCCACCAACAAGCGCTGCTCTGTCGCGAATGTTTTGCATGTGACAATCATTGCCATAGTCAAGCATCTGCGATCAAATAGTGTGAAGCGAAGATCAATTAGATGAGTCGAAAGAGGAGATTGAACGGGAAAGAAAAAGATTGCAAGCAGCGAAAAACGAAGAAAAGAACATAAGAGATTGATATAGGAGTCAAGAAAGAACAAGGCGCAAAAAAGTAGCCCAACTTCACCTCGTCGAATCCATTCACAAGTTCCATCATCCCTCTAGTTATTATCATAGCTTGTCCATCCCAGAACCAGTGAGGTTTGAACCTGGTACATGTCGTCTTTATCTCCATTACCTCCCTATCCCACTCTTCCTCCCTCTTCCCATCTCTTCTCCATCTCTCTTCCTGTTTGCTCCCATCACTACCCTCGTCCTCTTCCTTCCTGCTCTGTCATAACCTGTTGAGAAGCGAGTCTCTTGGCCCGAGCTTGTCGCTGATGCTCCATCCTCGCTGACTCGGAGGGCCCGTGAGCTCATCGGTAAAGACCGACAGTGTCGAGAAGTTCATGAGCTATCGAGCAGAAGTCAGAGAACGGAGAAGAAAGATCGACAAGTGTAGTTCACAATGAACACAGTGAATGAGAGGAGACTGACATGCGCTACTCATAGATCTTGATCATGAGAAAATGAACAAGAGGAAGATAAACGATGATGATGTAGACAAACTCGACAGAATTGAGCACGAGGAGACAAAGAGAAGGAGAGTGCCAGAAGAGGAATAAGAAAACGGAAAGAAGGAGGAGGAAGGGGAGATGGAGGAGAAGGAGGGGGAGGAGGAAGAGGAAGGGGAAGGGGAGAGACAGAGAGAGAGAGAGGAGGAGGAGGAGGAATCACATTCACCTGTGAACGGTCAAGGTAATCTTCGGGGACTGCAAACTGAATGATCGGCCATGAGATCAGGCAAAGACGGCGATGATGAGGGGGAGGGAGATCGTCCCTTGATCCCTCGTAGAAGAGAATGATGTTCTCAACAAAAGTCTCTGCGATTTCATCACAAGTTTCAGGAGAGAGAACGGGTGCAAGAGGATAGCAGACAAGGAACGAGCGGCAGCATGGTGGATTTCGAGACATTCAACAGCAGCATGCCCACCAAACTACCTGGAACCCACGCGTAGTCGTTGAGAATGGCGATGTAAGGAGCTCGAACAGACGCTAACCCTGAATTCCACGCGTTCTGAAACCCAAAGGCCTGAAATCTCGTCAGTTGACCAATACATCCTCCAAATCTCATTTCATCGTTCTTATCCTTCCTGCCTGCCTTCTTGTCTACTTGTCTGCTGCCTCTGCTATGCTGCCTCCAGTCATAAAGAGTCTCAATCCTTGCCCTCCCTCGTGTATCTTACTTCCTTTTCCAGCTCCTACCCCCTCCTCCTCCTCCTTCTTCTCCCCTTGTCTTTCATCCTCCTCCTCCTCCACTTCCTCCTCCTGCACGGCAGCTCCTACACCTGCGGTGAGCCCTTGGGTTTTGACGTGGAGATCGCGCGGATGTTGATGCCGAGCTCGTTAGCGCGAGAGCGAATGAGCTGCATTATGAATATGAGAGGGGAGCAGGGTGAAACAAGGGTTGTGCAAAAGACGACAAACAGAACAGGAAGGGGAAGGAAAGGTAAGGGCAGGATGAGGGCGACAAATCTTCTCACATGCTCCCTCTGCCAGAGTTCGTCGACAATGACTAGCTCAAAGTTCTTGCTGGTTTGTTTTGACAAGCTGCAAGAAACTTCATGAGGGTTTGCTAATAAAACCATCATTTGATCATCCATGTACCTGTGAAGCACAGCATCCATTCCTCCTGGACGTTTTGTTGCAACCAACACAGAGACGCGAGGAGAATGATCGGAGACTGTAAGGAAAGGTGTTATTGCAAAGAGAACTGAAATCGCAAATTGATTGGGAGGGAATGAGTTGAATTGCAAACCAATACATTAATGAGTTTGTACAACCTGGAACTCCAAAGAGCGTGACAAAGGATGCTTCAGAGCTGATACTGGTTGGTAGCTGATACGTCTGATCTACTTTTTCTCTAGAATACGAGCATGTCAAAAGCTTGGTATAACCACCACCACCACCACCACCACCACCACTATTACTACCACAATCATCATCATCATCATCATCATCATCATCATCATCATCATCATCATCATCATCATCATCATCATCATCATCATATTCGGCAGGTACAAACATAATCATATCATGATCGAGTTCATCATTGTTTTCCTCTTGTTGCTTACGCTTCCGGCTGATCAAACACGGCAGGTTCCACCCATCTGGTCCAACAAGCACGTCACGAGGTAACAAAAGAACATTGATGTGTAGCATGACCTCAAGACGTCTTGAAACAACTCTTCACCGTGTCTGCAACATACCTGTCAACAGTCTACAAGGAACGATCTCCTCCCTCCTCACATCTCGATGAGAGTAGAGATGGATTGCTGGTACGCGACAGCATGCGAGGATTGACCTCTTATTACTGTCTCACCATCCAGTCGATCATCCGGCTCACTCCAAACTTGTTGGTATACAAAGTTCTCCTGCCCGATCCAACATCAACACATGTCTCATGGGATTGAAGGGCAAGTCGACCTTCATTCCGAACGCTCCCTCGATATCAACCCCAAAGTCCCTCCAGCTCCCCAGGATCTTGAACATCGAAATTGATCAGAACTTTTCTTTCGTTCTAATTCTCACATTGCTCGGAGCACCAATACCGTGTACACCAGCTTCGTCAATGACCTGCGTTGTCACGTATGTTGGTTGCAGTACTCTTTCAACCATGTTAGTTCTTCATACATCCATGAAGATCTTGTTGAGGACTTGGGAAGGGATCGAGGGATCTTTAGCTCTCAACATCATTCTCTGCAGAATGATCTTCTCCATAGCTTCAACCCAGTTGACATACCTTTCAAACCCGTTCAGTCAAGAGCCAGAAACAGAAATCGTCGGGAACAAACCCGAAGTGAAGCACTGCAAAGGTATCATCTCTGATCTCCCTCTGCACCCCTTGCAGATCGTAAGGAATTCTGCTCATCTCAAACCTTCCAACAGACACGCTACATCAGTCCCACCCTCCCCAAGGTCAAAAGCATCAAGGAGGCTGAAGATCACTTTCTGGTGTCGTCACTGTGCCGCATGATTGTGTCTCGATTCTCCCAATCTTTCCTGTAATTTCCCACAGAATGATCTCAGGGCCGAACACCACAACCTCCCGTCTCACCCCTTCAAGTCTTCGTAGGCTGCAGCATTTGACAGGTAGCTGCACTTTCCGTCGTCCTTGAAAGCGATATCCACCACCTGACCTCAACTCTCAACGGAGGATACATAGCTGTAAACTCGGACCCTCAACGATCTCCTGCCCTGGTCCTGAAACTTCCAGTCTGCCCTCACATACCGCAGGCTCTTCCAGAAGTGAATCCAGGGGAGTGCCAGCGAGTCGCCCATCCTGCATGGGAGCGCACCGTGAGTTCATGCAGAGATGAATATCGGATTCATCTAACTCAAGGTTCTTCAGCGATTGCCACCATCCATCTGAGATCATGCTCGTAGTGAACACCTCATCACTGTTGTTGGTTACATGGTACCAGCGCAGTCAGGACGGAAGTTGATTGAAGACCTCTCACCAATGGAGAACAACAAAGTGGGTCCCTCCAATCATCCTCCCTTCCTCGAGCAAAGTTTGCATGTCCAACCACCTTGCGCATCGATCAGAGACATCTGCCGCACATGCTCAAACTCACTTGTTCGGGTTCCAACGAGAATCTTTCTTCAAAACTTTGGCAACTTTGCACTCTTCCGACACCTCCTCCACCTTCACAGCGGTGAGAACAACACCAGCCATTAACTCTCCCTCGCGCACCATCGCAGCTGTTCGATCCTCAGACGAATCATCCAACACAACGATCGCATTCACGAATCTAGCCAGCGCTCGCAAGAAATCCTTTACCTATCAACGTGTCACAACCCAACCATCGCTCCTTCTCACCCTACCGATCTCTCACAATTTCGGGCTCGAACAAGACCAACCACATGGAAGCCTTCACCGCCGCTCATGCTCGCCTTGCTCGACATGTCATACGGCACGTCAATGCCGAACGCCATGCTCTCTGACTGAACCGGGACTCCCTGGAAGTGGAGCCGGACATTGAGCAGGTACCTCCCGGTCTCGAGGCTGTGGAGACCCACATTGAGCAGCTTCTCTGTCTCCGTCCGCTCCATCAGCTGCGAGTTCGAGGAGTGAATCCCATCCGACAGCTGGAAGACGGTGGCGTTTGTTGACCTCAAGACCTCGATCTGCAGTGTGTGCTCCCTGTCCTGGAACTTGTACATGTCGAACACAGCTACTGACAACACCATCTCCTCCCTCCCCGCCAAGAAAACATGCCCGGGCCTCGGCCACTCGACGTCGAAGTAGAGCACATCGTCTCGCTTCTCGACATAGTCTTCCAGTCTCCGTGCGGCACAACTTGCTGCGAGCCATGCGGCATGAACGGCGAGGACATGGAGTAGTCGCCATGTCCGGTTGCTCCCACGAGTGGTCGACATCGCCTCCTACTGCTCCATCCCCCGCTTCTGCCCCTGCTCTCCCCTCGCCTCCTCGTTCTGATCCTGGTTCTAGTCTTGTTCCTCCTGCTCCTGCTCCTGCTCCTGCTCCTGCTCCTGTTCCTGCTCGATCCCCGACAGCCTAATAAATCCAAGATCTAATTGATTTACAATAAATAGCAGCAGCTCGAACTGTTTATACACAGCATGGCACCTTCCTGGACTCGGTTCGACACGGGTACGCTGCAGCTCATGGCGATGCTACTGACCAGCGACAGCATGCATGATCATGGCCGACGCTCATGCAGGAGAAGCTAGTTTGGCATGCAACAACAGTCTCCTCCTCCTGAACCTGAACCTGAACCTGAACCTGATTGAAGCCACCATGCCTTGTTCCCAGCAACGACAGGGCGCATCGCTTCCTGTGGAGCGATACCTGAGGGAGTCGCCATGAGGAGGAGAGCAGCGCTTTTCTTTACTTCTCTTGCTGTTGTCTTGACCTCTCAAGGGTCACCTGACCCTCCAGCCTCATGCTCTCATGCGAGATTCATTGCGAGGCATTCAGCAACGCCGGTAGCCCTCCCGACCATGGCGCTCAGAGGAGGCGGGAAGAGGAAGAGGATAACGAGGGACCACAAGATCGGTCCTGATGTCCTCGACTACACTGGAGTAAAGGCCATTCCCCATGACAACACGCCGAGACTCTCCGTCTACATGGGTACTTGGCTACCTTGAGAAGGCGCAGGTCCTGACTGATGATCATTGCAGAGAAGAAGAAGAAGAAAGTAGGATCATTCGCGGCGGCGATTAACAGGGAGTTTCCGAGAGACGAAGTGAAGGCGATGAGGATGATGAGAAAGATGGGCTTCTACGAGAGCCTCATCAACCCCAAAGACGATCCGGAGGAGGACGAGGAAGAGAAGGGCAGGTGACTCTGAATGTTTTCCTGCAAGTCTTACAGGTCACGGAGTGCTGCAGATACCTGGACTATCGCAAGACCTCGTCCCAGCCCATGCTCACTGATGGAACCGCAGAGTCGTCCGACTCTGACGACAGCGACTCGCCATCGCAACAAGTTGGTCTCCAAGTCCTTGACCAGCCGCTGACGTTAGCATCAGTCGATGAGCAAGACGCAGCCTCCCGCGGAGCTCTATGGAGTGACCTCATCAGATTCTGAAGTATTTCCTCTCTCCTCCTCATGGCTGACATGCTGATCGGCTTGCTCGACTCAGGTCAAGATACGGAATGGTGAAGTAGAATTCAACCCTGTTGCTGAGGACCGATCTCAGTCCGCAACTGAGAGTGTGAGTGAAAGAGCTGAACGTATCCTGACAGCCTCCTTGATGTCAACGGTGGCAGGAAGTCGTTCGTCGCACAGCAGGGCTCCTCCCACCGACCGACGAGCACGTTGGTGTCGACGGACTTGTGAACTTCACCAGCATGCTGCTGCATCCTAGCGAAGAGGAGGTGGAGGAAGCGGGGAAAGAAGGTGCAGGGGCAGGGCCGGAGCATCATGACTTGCATGACATTCAGCTTGAAGAGGCAAGACGTGATGTGATGGAAGCTTTGGAGAGTGAGGAAGTTCAAAGTGAGGTGGAGACGGAACAAGCGGTCCAGGACGAGCATCGGGACAGAAGCTCATTCACCACGACCCACTCTCTTCCTTCCTTTTATCGTTCTACTGAGAGGGAGAGCGACGATTCTGAAACAGAAGAATCAGCCGGCACACGAAAATCCAGCAAGGAAGGTCGTACAAGTGATGAAGACCTGAAATCCAGCGATGAATCTACAGATGGCGAAGAACCGACGATCCTTTCTTCGGATTTTTCTTATCGCCCAAAGCCGCCATGGCTCAGAGAAAAGAGGAAAAACAAGTACGATAGCAGAGACGTACTCGATCCTCTTGAGAATTTTGAGTGGGGAACGGAAAAGGTCCCCAAACACCTTCTCCCTCCGGATCCTCGAATGTGGAGGAGAAAGAAGAAGGATCGAATGCGCACAGAGATGATGAGGGAACAGAAGACAGATTGGAATCAAGAGATCGAGGATATGGATATACGAAGTGAGATCAAAAAGGACTGGATCGATTCCGATCCTGAGAAAGACAAGAGACAAGAGAAAGCTGCCTTGAAGGAGAGAAGAAATGTGCTGTTTCATGGTAATTGCGGATGATCTTTTGCTTGTATCGTATGCGTGACGACTTTCAAGATCCGAAATTAGACAAGATGAGAGCTTATGTGAGGAAAAAGGTCACAAGAAATGTTTCGAAGCAAATCACTCACAGCGTGTACAGTTCAACCGCGAGGAGATAACCATCTATCGGATGATTGGGTATGTGTTGTAAAACTCGATGATGCCGGCAGTTGAAGTTGATTGTGCGCCAAGGAACAAGATCATCGAGGACGACTTTGATTTTCATCGTCTAGTCACTAGAGATCGAGAAAGGAGAGAATTCAAAAGAGCTCAGAAAGAAGTTGCTGGATCCATCTCCTCCTCCGTCGAGGACTTTGACAATGTGTGGCGTCAACGAAGCTCTCTCATTCTCTTACACGTTGACATCAGGTAGCGCACAGCACCAAGTACAACTTTCTTGGTTTCGACGACTTTGTTCAGAGATACGGTAACACACTTTGAGCTCGGGACAGTCCTGACTGGACAGTTCTGACCCACTGAGCATTTGAACAGTGGGCGGGGAGTTTGAAATGCACCACCTTCCCAAATCTGTCATCCGCAAATTCTTTCCGCCATTCCGGGGAGCAACGTGCTCTTGTTCTGATGTTCCAAGACGACATCTGATACGGATTTGAAGATACTTTATCCCGACCAGGTATGCGATCTTGAGGGATCGACAAGACAGGAGAGATGAGGTAGCGACTTGATTGGTCGTTGAGCTCATGGTGAGATTTTAATCAGTGGGAGCAAACTGCCGAGGCGAGGTTGTTCAACAGCCCGGACGAGTGAGAAGAATGTTTGCGCTTCCTTATTCCACATTGAGTCTTGAAAAGCGCAAATCTCCCGGAGTTCGTCGGAGACTTACCTATTACGAATGACATAGTTCAGAATGTGAGGAGGATCGAATTGATTTGTTGTTATTCCGGGTCTCAATATTTTGTAGATTGAAGAAAGTTTCAAGACACAAGATGGTGAATATGATTTGGATAAGATGGCACTGGCGTTGGAGGTGAGACGTGCGATGTTTGTATATGATGATGTCTTGAGCAAATCAAAATCATTGCAGAAAGAGCTCAAGAAAATCAACAAGGCAATCTTTCGTCTTCGATTCAACAAAGGGCGGAACAAGAAGGAAGCTGATAGTGAGATTGTCGACGAGAAAGATGATGTCTATGCAAGTCAAGAAAGACTTCTTTTTCAAGACCTCGACCGTCTGGTGCAAGCTCGATCTTTCATGGAGAAATCGCTGGTATGCACTGCTCGTCGATCACTCGTTACGCCTGATATGTCCAATTGGTGCAGTCAGAGATAGAGCAAGCGAAGCAGGAAGAGTCCATCGTTGAGAAACCAATACTTAACATCACATATGACGCTGTGTGGATCTTGGGCTTTGACGTCAATCCTTACGGGAGACCGTTTGATGTAAGATGCGCTCACCAAAGTTTGATCCCCTTACGCATCGTCTTCCAGTTGAACTCGATGATGTTTACAGACTGCAAGAAATTCTTCTGGACTCCTGCAGTCCAATACAACTTTTGGTCGTTGGTGAAGAAAGGCGAAAAGGACATCAACAAATTACAGTATCTGATGGACATGGTAATCTCTTAACATCTCCGTTATTCATCATGTCGGGTTGTGGTCATGTTGGATCTGCACTATCTTGTTGAGATAAGGGAGATAGAACAAGGGACGTTCTTGCAAGTGAACAAACTGACAAGAAACGATGCCAATCGAAGCAAGACTTCCCATCATCAACTCCTTTCGCTCTTATTGCAAGTCATGCTGATCTCTTCTTTCAGGGCGCCGTTGTAAACGCCCATAACCCTTCCAATGCCTTCTCGACAGCTCTGCACCTGGCGGCATGGGGAGGTCACGTGGAGACTTGTCGGAACCTCCTCCTCCTCGGGGCCAACGTGACAGCACGAAGGCTGTGTGGGTCGACTGCTCTTCATCTCTCCGCTTTCTGGGGACATTTCAAGGTAGTAGAAGAGCAGGAGCAGGAGCAGGAGCAGGAGCAGGAGCAGGAGGAGAGGAGGGCACAAAAGTCAGAAGCCAGGGGAAGTTCGAAACAAGGTTGAAAAAGCGGGCAAGAGCTGAATGAAGAGTACGACAGGAGCGTAGAGGAGTCCGAGGAGTAGAGGTGCACGCAGCACGGAGCGAGGAGTGGGCCGAGATCGATCAGTCGAGGCTGGTGATGGAGGTGGGGAGATTCTGACAGAGGAGCAGGTGACGCGGTTGCTGGTGGAGAAAGGAGGAGCAGATATGTGGTGCAAAAGGCCTTATGACCGCAAACTTCCCCTTGACGTAGCGGCGTCTGAGAACAACAAGTGGGTAGACAGGACCAGGGTGGTCGTCTGGTTGAGGAGGAAGATGGGACTAGAGGAGGTGAGCACCACATTCTTCTTACCTGAATGATTTGCTTTCTTCTGTTCATTCTTTTGGCAACCAATGTGTTGGTTGTTGCAACGGAACAAACCTTCTTGATCTTCGACTCCTTTGTTGAGCCTCGCCCTTCCTCGTCTTGTTTCAACTGCTTCTCAAACCCCTCTGTATCAACCCCTCTTCCTTCCCCTGTCTCCTTCATCGATCGCCTCCTAGATCTCCATCTCCAACTTCTCCTCCTTCTTCTCCTTACTCCCCTTTTCTTCTTTCCTCTCTTTCTGCCCTTCCTCTCTCCTATCTTTTTTTTCTCACGTTCTCTACAGAAACTGCATGTTTGCAAGATTCCGAAGCGCTTGAGAGTCAGCGAAAGGAATGAATATGTTCGCATCCCCCCCGGTCCCTACATCCCTCCATGGCAAGTCGAAGATGAAATCGCGTTCTCCTCTCCTTCCCATCGGTACCAGGACCCTGAAACAGCAGGGAGGTCTGCCCGGCTCCAGCTCAAGGTTCCCTGCCTCAAACACGCACTTTCTCTCTACCTCTCGTTCCTCCTTCTCATTCCCACCTCCCTTCCTTCCCTCCCTTTCTCCCTCCCTTCCTCCTTCCCTTTTTCTCTCTTCCCACCCTACATATCACGGACCCCTTTGCTCCTTTCTTTCCTTCGTCTTCTTGCTCCATCGCTGTACTCCCTGCTCACAACAACTCCATTCCCACCTTCTCATTGTTTTTTCTTCATCTCTCATCTCATCTTTCTCAGGCATCCAAAGAGCATGCAATCAAGACCAACACGCCCGTCGCAATGTTCGAACGCCGCAGCCTTGTAGGAGAAGAGAAAGATGCTCCCCTCGGCTCCAGCGCCATGGACTCATCAGACGAGGAGGGAGAGGAGGATCGGAAAAGGAACCAAGTCAAACGCATGCAAAAGAAGATCGTGTATGGGATTCAGCAGCAGCAGCAGCAGAGGAGGGGGAGATAAAAGTTGGTGTCAGAGTACTGGCAGGCCGACTGGCTGGTTCGTGATTCATACGCAAACACAAACGCAAACTCTCGCCTCATTTCTTTTTGTTCCAGCCTAGTCCAGTTCCCCCACCTTGCTAGCAAACTCCCTTAGGACTGGTCGCTTGTACAGCCTGTGTGAATGTCAAGGGAATGCTCGTCTGAGAGTGAGAGGGCTACATGTGGAGAACGTGGGGCCTTTTGTCTTCGAGGAATTTTTGGGCTTCCATGAGAGACATCTTCCTTTCTTTGATGAGATACCTGAAGAATGCCAAGATTCACATCGGCAGGAGAAAAGGAGAGAAAGTTGGCAAGGGGCAAGAAGGAAGGGCTAGAGGTTGCAGAACTTACGCCATGCAGACAGACGCCGCTCGTCCTCTTCCCGCTGTTAAACAGCTCAACAACTGTAGATCTTGTCCTTTCCCTCTCTGATCTCTCATATGTCTCCTCCTCCACCCCCGTGCCATCTCCTCTTCGTTCACTCCTCTGCGATCTCTTTCCTCTCACCTTTGCAATGAACATACACTGTCCCTCCCCCCTCAACAACTTTCGAGATGTACTCTGTTGCATTCTCGATATCCTGCAGGAAACAATAAGCAGACAACAAAACAACAAAATCGTGCATTCTGTAACCTCCAAAGTGGGTGGGGTAAAGTCGATGACGGGAAAACGTTTCTGCACGATCCCATACTCTTGGTATTCCTTCTCGGGTCCCCCCCATTCCGCCACCATGTTTACTACATGAGTCACTCCTTCTTCGCGCAGCTGCACAAGCCTCGCCGTCAGATCAGGAAGCTAGCGGATCCATCCAACTCCAGCACAGCAAAGGGAAAGTGAATCTCCTGAAACTAGGAGGGAGCGGAGGAGAACAAGATTCTGAAAGCTCTCAGAGAATTTGGAATTTAGATGCGAAATTTGTGCAGATGGAAAGAGCAAGTCAGCCTTCACCTTAGGCACTAGCTTGGAGTACGGCAAAGCACCGCAAATAACCTTACGAGGGAGCGAAATGTCAGTGAAAGTCGAAGGAAAACTGGCGTAAGAGTCTTACCTTGTCGGTAATGCGATCGTACCAGTTCCTCTTCTCATAACCTTGAGATCGAAATCTCGCATCAGTTGGACTCCAACTGGCAAGGTTGCAGGTGAATGTGTTTTCACCTTTCTTCTGACTCTGAAGGACCTGATTCCACCACAAGGTTGGCCAGAACAAAACTTGCAGAGTGGACGAGATCAGCGTCAGAACCATTACCACGGCAAAAAAAAATCACTGGTTCTCACTCTTTGCAAGAATTGCCATGATGCTTCTAGGACAGACTTGAACAAACCTCTCCATGTTTGCATTCACAAACTTTTCCAATCCCTGGCACGCCTTTCAGATCATGAGCCATCGGGTGCATGCCACCTTGACAAGCTTTTGTGAGAAGGATAGCTTTGGCTCCTCATCGGCTCTTGCAGACATATGAATGCCTGCGCCATCTTTCCTGACCATGGAGCCTCGTTGCCGCGCTGACATGAAACTCGTCTTGTGGTGGATGTGAAGACCTGCGGGTCCCATACCAATCATCCCATCGAGAGGAACATGTGAGAGATGAAGGAGGAAGGAAGGTCAAGAAGACCAACTACACACGTTGAGTCCGGGCAAGGTGATGGTTTCGAGCATGCAAGACATGCATACAACTCGCAAAGACATCGTCATCACACCTTGCCTTGCAGATCCTCCCGTCACCGACGTGCTGAGGAACCGGGAAGCCGTGGGCGAGCAAGCGAGAGCGAACGGGAGCTGGGATGAGACGGAAGTAGGATGAAGCAGGAACGCTTGTGAGCTGGATGAAAGCAGGAGGGCGGGAAGGAGAAGCAGGAAAGAAGCAGGATGGTAACTATGTGGCCATTTCATCCCCTCGTTCGCGTTCGAGGTCGATCGGGTCCGCGCCAGATCAAATATCTGAAAATACAAAGGACAGCAAATTGATATATGGGTGTATATAAGAGAACTTGCCGGGTGGCAGGATGGAGGGCGCAAGTACATGCGCATCGTTGGAGTTGCGTAGACCTGCGTAAGGAGAGCAGAGGAGAGGAGAGCAGAGGAGAGGAGAGGAGAGCAGAGCAGAGGAGAGCAGAGCAGAGCAGAGCAGAGCAGAGCAGAGCAGAGCAGAGCAGAGCAGAGCAGAGCAGAGCAGAGCAGAGCAGAGCAGAGCAGAGCAGAGCAGAGCAGAGCAGAGCAGAGCAGAGCAGAGGTTGAGAGGCGTGTACAAGAGAAGAGGAGAGATGAGTGGGAAGGTCTTCAACGAGAAGTGCGTCATAACAGGAGCGACAGCCAAGTACAGGGACCCTCTTACGGGTCTTGCATACTCCGACCTTGCAGCTTTCAAGGTTCTACGTGAGAAGTTCAATGCCAAGGTCCGTCCTTTTTTCCCATGGCTGGTCGGAGATGGTGACAATTTCATGGCAGGATGAAACCATCTTGTCGCTGTCGGAGTCCGCGAAGTCTACTGCCTCCCAGGAGAGAGCTGGGGAACACGAGCAGGAGCATGAGGCGAGCGGTGAACCAGAGAGCACGCACGAATGCCTGCTCTCGTCGTCACAGCTGTTGATCATCGGTGAGAGCATATTGACTCGATGGGCTGGTCATACTCACTGGTGACGACAGAGAGAGACGAGGAGATCAAAAAACTTATCAGCGACAAGCAGACGGCAAAACTCTTGATGGAGATCGATGGCTCTGTGAACCCGCAGAGAACTCTAACGCAGAGTCGGAAGGACAACCCGCAGGTATGAGATGGTTGTTAGCGAATATTGGTTTCCACTCAAGATGTTGTTGTTTCTTCCGAGTGATAACTTGTAAGCCCCTCATGTTGCCTTTACAGGTCGAAGAGTTTGTTGCAAGAGTGTTGTCTGCGATTGAGGGGGAGCGCAGATAAAGCAGAGCTTTGCCAGTTCACACGTGCTGATTGTCATCTACCTTGTCACTCGATCACCGGCTTCTAATCTACCGTTCTCTTGCTGTCAACTTAGAGTTGGGCAACCCGGCATCTGTTCTTTTTAATCCGATGGACGATGCTTGTGAAACAGCAACGCAAAGGTGATTCAGACGACTTTGAATCCGACGCTCGTCGTTTTGCTCCAGTCATCCTCGTTGATCTTGTGGCTAGATACAAACTATGGTGAACACGAACATGTTGTCGTGATGTAGTATGACATCATGGTGTAGTCACAGACAAGACAAGTCTTCAACTCTTCGTCGTCACGACATGAAGTTCAAGACATACTGTCAGTTCAATCCACATGCCTCCATAGACAGTTGCATCTTTGTCCAGTTCTTACCCCTCGTTTCTCTCGAGATCTATAGGTCTGATCCTAATAGATCATGGGTACCCCTCTACCCCTGGCCTCGGGGAGCCCTTTGCCCGGCCCCATATGTGATTAGTTGATATTTCCGAAAGAGGGGGTGGGGGTGACTTTGGGAAGGGTGGCAACACAAGGTCTGCAAAAATGTTGATGGGGTGGTCAGGGTTAGCAGGTAGTGGTATCCAGGATGCCTCTGTGTAATGGATACCCAAAATCACTTATGCATCTAGTTAGAACATCGAAACTCAAAGTGGTTGCCTCAAGAAGTATCCAGGGTACAGATTCTTGTTTGGGTAAAGCTCAGTCATGAGGGGGTCCAGACCGCTGGAAGTAAATGATTGTGGGTCAGGAGTCAAAGGGTGGGGTGGTAGGGGTCCGCTAGTCAAGACTGAATTTCCGTCGTCCGGCGGCGATGGCAGGAGGGACGCAGGATGGAAGGGATTGAAGAGGGAGGAGGAAGGAGGGAGGAAGGAGAAGGACGGAAAGAGGAGTGAGGAAAGAAGGAATGTGCGTGAGAGCAGGATAGCGATGTCGAAGGAGCTACCGTATGTAGCCGCTAGCAGGAGCCTCGGAGTTGGGCCTGTAAAAGTTTCCCGATAGTTTAAATGACAACATGGGGTGTTGCACAATAGCGCAACGAGAAAGTCCTATGTTGTAAGCTTTCGAGAGTTGATGAGTCATGGAGATGATGGGAAAGAGATACCGTGTATGAAAGCCGCGAGGGAGGAATCAACTCGGTATGATAAGGAGACAGACGCGGACAAGGAGGTGGAGAAACAGAGTGGACAGCATAGACGTAGCAAAAGCATTGGTTCTGATAGTGCTGGCGATAGATTTCATCGAATTGTAGTTTCTTTGATGACTTTGATGGAAGTTTGGGTTGAGATAGTTTGAGAAGAGAGCAGGTCATCGACAGTTTGCTCTGTTAGAAGGGCATTGTGCTGAGATCGGACTGGCAGGGGCGCAGAGTTTGAGGGCACAGTTTTCAGCAGGAACGCTGGGTCTTCTCTTTTGATCAATACAGAAATGTTGTGCTAAAGACCAGGTGAATATCGTTGTGCATTATGCACACAAACCCGAGCACGAGGGCAGATAGCTTGATGATCTCAAAAGAAACTTACATGAGCTACAACAACGCATTTCAGGCAGGTTTGAACGCTGCATCCGCACAGAGCGCCAGCGCAAAGATGTTGGAGGTGAAGAAAGAAGCTTCTTGGCAGCTCGGGATCAAGTACTCCAGAAGTGCTTCTGGTTTTCTATACATACATGAGGTCATTCCTGGCACTCCAGTGACGCGCGCGCGCCTTCTTAGGTCAAAACCGCAATGGGCGAAATGGAACGGGTGGGAATCAGGAATAGGAAATGGTGCTGGAGGCTTCAAGGTCGTCTGCGTGACAAGTCTGGGACAAGATCGCTCGGTGCGATGGAACATTTCGAACAACATCAGCGATCAACTATGGCTTGACATCGTTCGCGAAGCTACGAGCAGGTCTAGAAAGGTTGAGATTGAAGTCGAGCAGGAGGTGAAAGTGCAAGGAGACAAGAAGGAAGTCTGGACATTCTCCCTCCTTTGCCTCGCAGACTCAAAGGAGCAGGACGTCTTGACGAATTCTTTCAGATCCATCAGGTCTTCCAACCACGAGGACTCCTATACGAATCAGAGCCTGCTCGCTCAGAACCACAACAGTGTTGACGTGGACCCGAACCAAACTCTCCTTTCACAAAACCTCACGATGAAGTCCCTCTCTTCTTGCTCGACGCTCCACAGCTCCACCAACTCCGAGCCCAGCGACCGGCTGAACAAGCGGAGAAGAGTACCCCAGGTGCTGACGTACAAGATTGTCAGCGATGACCTGCTGCGGGTTGTTTCTGAGGGAGTGGACCCTTCCTCTCTGCCTCTTTTTGTGCTGGAGGACAAGCTCAAGTCCCTCCTTCTCTCGAGGCTACAAGATGACATCGAGGTCTGACCTTTGCTCCTCTCTCCTCTCTTGCGAGCCTGACCACGATGATGTAGAATGCAAGGAAGAAGAACGAGGAGGAGAGAATGATTGCAAAGGTGAAGTCTGAGGGCTACCACCAGTGTCCTCCCCTCACAGAATTCGCGCAGGAGCAGGCGCTGGAGGAGTCTCAGAAGAGTCTGGAGAGGATAGAGGTAGACATTTCCAGCTCTTCCTGGACCGACTGACCTCTGCAACACAGATCGCAATTCGAGAATCGTACAGGTCAAGGATGGTGGATGAGGAGTCAAGCTCCAACGAGGTGACTGTCAAGAACATGGCTTTCTCAATCTCACCAACAACTGCTCAGGATCCCTTCACTTGCCTTCTTCTCTTCTCACCGCCTCATTTTCAGCCCAAGTCGCCGAGCGTGCTGACTGTCAAAGTCATCGGAAGGGATGACCATCACCTGCCACCTCCTCCAGTGACTCTGCAGAGCCCAACTGCTTCCCTGACGGAGGCTGTGACAGAGGACATGCATCCACAGGAGGAGACGGACTCAGTCGCGCCCCAATCAGACGCAGACGAGGCGGCAACGTTGGATGACACGGAGAGGTGAGAAAAAATTGTGTTTTCCTTCCCTACTGTCCTCTAATGATGTTTTCAGTGTCCACGCAGTCATTGCGGACCTTGTCTTCGTGCAATGATATTGAAGTTACCATGTAGATGTAGTTTACATGCACAGGAGCCAGCATGTGCGAGCATTTCCCGTTCAACCATAATGTTCCATCTGTGGGCTGCTATGTTATGTTCGTGAACAAAAAGGGTGAAACAGCCGTGTCGATCATGCAATCAAGGGCAACATACGACAGCACAAAACTTTCATTATTGCTGCGACTCAGCGAGCCTGTCACTCGTCTCATCCCACTCCGTCGTGCTTCCACGCACAATAGCCTTGCCTGCACAGCAGCATCAGCATCGCCTCCATGCTTCCAACCTCTCAGGTCAGCATACCGATCACTCTCAACCAAGACTCCAGCTCCTCGTCGCTGTTCGCACTGAACTGATAGAATGTCCCCTGTCCACCAACATCACACAATCTCCACCTCTCACAGCTTGTCATCACCCCTCTTGCAGATATGATAAACGTGTACGGCCGGTTTGCGCTGTCGTCCCTCCTAACTCCCGTAGCCTGGCCCGCAGGTGGTCACGCAGGTGGGAGTAGTTGGGACAAACCTTCTTCAGCGAGATGACATCTTCCGGCGCTGAATCCGCCTCACTTGTATACCTGGCCCCAGTCAGCCTCCTCGTCAGTCCACCACCAGCAGGCAGCACCAGAACATGAGGGAGTCTTTTGTGACGACGACATGGCGTTCCTTCCATATCTGCAACCGACGGGTCACAGCCGCCATGGCAGCCAACAACGACAGCATGCCTTGAGGATCGAGCTCTGCCGCCACACCTTGCCTGCAATGTCGTGTCGGTGACTTCGAAGATGCAGAGGGCAGGATCAAGCACCTGCTTTGTCCACATTGCTGTGCTGACGCGCAGGGATCCTCAAATCCTTGCCTGCTAATGAAGGCTGGGAGACAGCAAAGTTAGAGATATCGTCGAACATTATGGCCGCCTGCCTTCCTCCCTCAAACTATCCCTCCATCCCTCCATCTCATCCCTCCCCTTTCAATGGGTATCTGTCTCAGTTCTCCATCATGTCAGCCTCTCACCGCAAGTTTGCTCTTCTGCTGTATCACTGACCCCTGTAACATCACTTGCCTTGCTGCGTTTCCCCCGCCCTTCCTTCCTGGTATCTCTTCTCCTACCTTTCCCTCTCTTTTTATGTTTCTACCCTCCCCCTTTCCCTCTCCTCCTCATCTCTCCCCTTCTCCGCTTTCCTCTCCTCATTCTCTCCATCCCTCTCCCTCTCCTCCTCCTCCTCCTCCTCCCCCTCCACCTGCTCTCTCCACTTCCCTCATCCCGTCCCTCTCTTCCTCTTTCCATGTTCCTGTTTCTCTCCTCCTCCTCCTCTCTCCTCCTTCCTCACCTCGTCCTTCACCGCCTGATATTCCATCACCATCCCGAACATCGCCATGCCAGCTCCCCTTCCCAACCAGTCCCCCGCCTCAGAGGCACTTCATTCAGGGCCAGGATACAAGGTCCTTCAACATCTAAGTCGATCACTAAGTAAATATCGGTATCATTGCTCCTCATGCCTCGCCCCGCCAGCGAGCAAGGAGGAGGCGCGTTCAATGCTGGTATGGTTCTGCGGACCGTCAGGGCAGAAACTGAACGTCAAGGTCGGGGGGGAGGACACCACCAACGTGCTCAGAGTGAGTCTGACCCACCATGTCCCTCCCCCCCGCCCTCCCTCCCTCGTTTCTGCCCTCCCTCCCCCCCCCCCTCCCTCCCTCCCTCCCTCCCTCCCTCCTTCCACTCGCACAATCTGAACGGAATCGCAGGCACACATTGTTCTCCTTGTTTTGCAAACCAACACGACCCATCAAGCTGAGCACTTCGGACCGATCACGTTGTCCTTCATTGCTGCTGCAATGGTCCTGATTTCTACTGTCAGAGCTCAGGGCTCCGAAGGGCGGAACCCTCTGCAGATCAGGTTCGGGATGGTGTGGCTGCAAGATGGAGTGAAGTTGTGCGACAGTGGCATCCGGGTAAGAGATTGAGCTAGAGTGCGGTGGAGAAGGAGGAGTGAGTGTTGAAGAGAAAGAGAGGGTGTCAAGAGGATCTTATTGGAGCTGAAGTGGATTTGGCAGGACGGCAGCGTAGTGCATCCCGACTGGAAGTCGTTTCAGCATGACATGCGCTCATCTGCCTTGTAAGCCACTCATGGTTTGAGGATGAGATCTGAAACGTAGCTCCAAGTGCTTACCTTGATCCGGACTGGTGGATCCAGTCGTCGCAGCAGCTTGTGAATGGGATACGGTCCTCATTGTCTCAACTGCCCACCCTCCTCTGAATGTTGTTTGTCACAGCCAGCTCAGGTTGCAGAGCCTCCCGCCGTTTGAGATGTAAGATGCAGACTCTTGTAACTCGGGTGTTGTGTGAACATGGGCTCCAGGAGGATGATTTGGCCTGGCCCGCTGGTTCTACAGGACAAGACATCCCAGGACAAGTGAACCTGTTGTAGAATTTCCTCTATTTGTGTACAATACATCAACCTCCCTTAACTCGGTGACTAGACACCACGGTGTTTTCTCTGAAAATTGTAGGGGAAATGTACTGTATTCCCAATCCATATTCGATTTCCTCAGTACCAATACAACTCAAGAGAAAGGTTGCATCGAAGTCAACGTTTACTGTATACAAAATTGTTCTAGGCAAGAGTGTACTGAGGACAAGTGGAACAACGCCAAGAGCTCCATTGAATGCGATAAGGAGAACAATTCAGAAGCATTCTCAATCGACCAATGGGTAAATCAAACGCGGTATCGCCCGAGGTATAAATATAACCAAAGGGGTGCTGACAATCTGTACCACTGTTAGAAAGAGGTTGTAATCAAAATAGTCTTCTTGGATCTCGGATCTCTGCATCAAATTGCACTTCAGGTATGTTCTGCAGAAACAAGGCTATCCTCTCCGGACAAGTCATCCATCCGTCTTTTGAGAACCCGTCGCTATCTCGACTAACATCAACAATTTGAAATGCGTCGCAGTTGCCTGTGATCGAAACGTCTTCGATGCTACTAGATGAACCTTGCGTTGCATGTTGATCGTGAAGGACCCTCCCCTCACTATCGTGCGCTGCTGCTGCTTCTTGTCCATCTTGTGTATAGAGGCATTCTCTGGTTGGTGTGTGATTGCCTGTTCGCATCTTCTTGTACCTGGATCGCTCCTCGTCTGACCATAACTCCAGCGTCGCATGCGCCCATGTTCTCTTGTTCCAGATGTCTCGAATTGCTTTGGCGGTTACCCCGTACTTTATCCCGAGCTCAACACTCAAAGATGTCGGCTTCCAGACAGACCCTGTTTCCATCTGCTTCTTGGCAGCCATGAAAATTTCGCGCGCAATGTCGGGATTGATCATGGCTCTGCTGGTGGAGACATCGAGCGGAGGGGAGCTTCTTTCGTTCATGCCAAGGGGTTGAGCGAGGAGCGAAGAGATACGGGCGATACAGAGAGTGGGGGAGTATACTTTCTTCCAAACCTCTCGTTTTCAATCTTCTGATTTGTTATTGTACAACGAAAAAATAGATGTATTATTGTTAATAATAGTTATAAAGATGCTTTCAGACAATCCAGAGTCCATTGCTCGAGAAGGCATACATAAACGCAACATGGCAGGTATGAATGACATTCAAGAGCATCGAATGACAAAGGGCTCGAATCGCAGGTTATCTGTTTCAAAGGCAAGTTTCAACTTGATCATGCTTCACGCAACTTGAAGAACTTGATGCCATTCATGCACCTCAGACCTTTCAAATATAATTGAGATCAAGTTGTCTATTTGAGTTCGACCGAAGGGATGCTCGATATAAACATTCCTATCCTCGAGGGGCACGTCATCCATCCATCGTCTTGCGTCTCAAAGCTTGGACGACTGTGCTGTATGTTGGAGGAACTAGTAGCCACCTCTACATCCTCCTGCCATCCCTCGTTTTCCTGTTCTTCAGATCGCGAAACAGATGAGACAGACTCGTTCTTGTCAACCTTGATCCCTCCGCTGTGTGCGCTCTGAGACAAGGTGTCAGGACTTGCGGGGAGCGAAATTAACTCAGCAGCCGTATGCGTGCGCTGTTCAAGCTCGTTGGCTGTCATTTTCTCACGAGGCTTTGGCTTGTTATTGAATTGCCTCTTCTCTTCCTCAGTCCAATATTTTACGGTGGCGTGCCGCCATGTCCGCTTGTTCCAGATGTCTCGTATTGCTTTCGCTGTGATCCCGTACTTGTTTGCAAGCTCTTCGCTGGTGACTGTCGGTGTCCAAACTGCACCAGAAGCTTCCTTGTTCTTGTATATCAGGTATATTTCTTGGGCAACCCGTGTGGTAATCAGAGCTTTCCCACTCTTGTTCGAGAAGAACTTCAGATTCTCATCTTCTTGTGCGCTCTTAGATCGAGCAGCGGCTTTCATGTCGATACCTCCAGTTTCGAAGATGCAATCAGACGTTTAGGTACCCAGAACAGAAGCAGCCTCTACAGCATGTTGTGGATATTTCTGAGGAACTGCCCATTCGATTGTTGGAGAGTAAAGGGTAACCTAGAAGGAAAGTAGGAGCAGGTATGTGTATGCGAGGCCACTTTGTCAAGAGGGAGGACGGGATTGGGAGATTGATGTACGGGGAATCGGGCAAAAGACATATAGGGCCAAGGGGCTAGGGGAGAGGCCGGAGGCTGGGGCCGATTTATTATAAGTATAAAACCCGGCGGAGAGACGCAAGGTACCACCTCGACGAAACGTGTCGCTTCACACGACCAAAAACCGTAGCCTTACGTGCCGCTGACCACTGAAGGGACGCCCATCCATCTTTACTACAACAGCCAATGATAGCCATGGACTCCGCCTCAGAGCTCAAGATAAAACCTGGGGCGTTTTATGTGATGAGATATGGGCGGCAACCGGTGCAGATAGACAGTCAATGCTGACAAAGCCCTCCACAACCTTCGGGGGACACTGGTCAGAAACGGTGAGGTTTTGCGTATTCTTAAAACCCTCACAGGTATCTCCAGGATGAGCTCGTGTCGTCTACAAAGTTTTTGCTGAAAGTTGCTCACATGCCTGTAGTAAATCAAAAAAAAAGATGCAGAGTAAAACGTTTTAGCCGATTTCAGAACGATTCGATCTCACGCATTGCGATGCTAAGGTAGCCATAGAAGGACTATATAAATTATATAAAAACCAAGTTCAACCTTCATTGAAAAATTTGGGTGAAAATTTGAAAGACAGCTGATGATGATTGAAATATGAATACTTCTGCCCAAAGCGAAAGAGACGGCCGAAACGGGGGAAAGGCAAACAGGCGAAGAGGATTTGCGAAGAAGAGGTTTGATTCCGAGGAGTGAGCGTCTCCTGCCGCCCTCAACGTTGTCTCAAGTCGATCTTGAAATGCACAGAATGTCTGACTCCGATTCTGCAATGCACCGAAACGAGATCAAGAGCGGAAGAGCGTTGATCACTCCCGACGTGGCACGGGAGATATACATGTACTCACAAGAAAGAATTCAAGCTGGGTCAACATTCTCTCCAACAAGTGTCAGCGCTGCCCTCGGAGCAAAGTATGGAATTACAGCGAAGGCTGTTAGAGACATATGGAACAAGCGTACGTGGAGTCATGCAACATATTTGCTATGGACTGACGAGGACAAGCGAATATACAAGCAAAAAGTGGACTCATTTGACAGGCAGAAATTGAAAGCGGAAATTTCCTCACAGGACGTACATGTCCACACAAAGATGACAGACTCGCTCCCAACAGAGCACAGGAAGAAGGACGAAGGGGGAGCAAGAAGTGAAGTTCGAAGTGCTGGCTCAAAGAGCAGCTTCAGTGATAACGACGAAGGCATTGCTCAGGCATCGGTAGGCTCGCATTCAGATTCACAATGTGCGGTAGTGAAAGCATTACCTGAAGTTGCGAAGCAACCTTCACGCATGTTTAATGATGCCTGGATGATGTGTCCTGACAGAATCGGTCTTTTCCTCAGCGAGAGGCCAGAGATCCAGTTCACCTCCGACCGTGTAGCAATCCAAGACACATTTACACCCGCAAGCGGGAAATCTCTCTTTCGGGTTGATCATGATCGAAATCAGGGACCTCAATTATGAGGGTGTGTTGCAGTAGTTAATCCACCAGTGTGATGATTTTATGCTTTCCTGTCAGACTATCAGAGGAATACTAATTCCCTTCTATTGCCACCAGAATTGATCCTGCCATAGTACGGAAAGGGAATAGATCCTTATGATCGTGATTTCCTTATCTCAGAGGCTCACAGAGCCTCTCCCTTACAACCTGGCAAAGTTCCCGGCGAGAAGTGCTGACTTACTATGATCATTATCCCGGTTGAACCGAGTTAATTTTCAAAGGCCTCAGAGAATCAGTCAATAAAGTTTGAACGTATCTTCACTCGTGGCTCGATGCGCAAACCGTGACTCATCAAGCGGCCATTGAATCGGCCTCAGGGATCAATCACTGTAGCGGGATGCGTAGTGCCGCCGCGAGTCACGAGTCAGTCAGTAGCCGCGGTTGAAAGTTCTGTGGTGCTCGGCCTCAGTGCGGAAAGATGTACGGTCCCAATGGTGATGAGTCCGTCACTTGGGGCAAGCCGCTCTAGTGGTGGCACAGTGATCAGATCATCGGATTGTCTTCACATTGAACTGAGTTCGTACTGGGCGAGGCTCAGTCGGACTCAATACTTCAGTGAGTAAAGCCTGAGTCACTCACTGGCGGACCGGGCCGTACGGTGCCCGTGTCACCGGCGCCAGGCGTGCCTCACCGTGTCCCGCATGGGCCTCCTTGAACTCGGAAGTCACCATTCGCCGGATTGCCCGGCAACGGGCGGCGCGGCCGGCACTGGGGCCCCGGCCCAGAGGGCCCGGCCGGGCCGCCGCGGCCTGAATGATGAAGATAAAACATTTTTATATTTAGTTAACTGCTCTTGCATTGTGCCTCCCACCTCATCATGGTGGAGCTACTCCTGCAGGGTGCAAAGAAGTGAAAGAGAGGGAGGGAGCAGCTGCATGCAGACCGCAAACGATGATCTTGTAGAGACAGAGGAGGAGGAGGAGGATGTATGTTCATTGCGCTTGACATCTAGCCATACCGCACCTGGAACTATCAGGGATAGTGGACACCCAAAGCACATTTGTTTCCTGTCGTTCAATTCTGACGATGTTCTTTTCTTTCTTTCTTTCTTTCTTTCTTTTCTTCGCACAGGCATCTCTATTCATCTGATATTCTCACATGGTGGCTCAGCGATGCAAGGCCCTGGCGTTGGTTCTGCTTCTGCAGCTTGCGGACGGTTTCACGTTCCCCTTGCTGCCTGCAACATACTCAAGGCGGCCAGTGACGGCAAACGCCAGAAGGTGCAAGGTGTCTCCGATGTACTCCAGCTACAGGATGAGTGCAAACAACGATGCTGACGACGCATCGGCAAATGCGTACGACGAGGAATCGATCGAGGCCTTCCGGTCGTTGATGCAACAGTCTTGGAAAGGGAAGAAGAGTGAATCAAAAGAGTTCGACGGGTATGCTTTCAGAGACCTGATTGTAGAGAAATGGGGTGTGCCATATGACGTACAGATCAAGAGGGAATACTTTCTTGGTAAGCCGATGATCTTCTTCAACGTGATGTGGAAATGGTGCGGCCAACAGTCGTTTCCACTCACCGAGACGGAATATCTGGAGCATTTGCAGTTTCTTGCGGAGCTGTGCGTGAAGTGGGACAGAGTAGATCTTCTGAAGGAAGAGATTGCAAAGTAGGATAGATCTGCCTCCCAAACTGCAATGTGACGCCCTCAAATCAGGTGTCGGAAGCGACCAAATGGTTACTTCGGATATGCTGTGGCGCTACCCCTAGACCTGCCCCAGGAAGTGAGATCTACTTCCTGGTGTGCTTGTCTTTGATTTGACTTCTTCGCTCAGGTGATGAATGAGCTGGACATTCCAGAAGGTCGATGAACGAGCGTGATTCAAGATGTCATAACTTCAAGATATCACAAATTCCGGTCGTGATCGTGAAGTTTGCTGCGCACTTGCTGAAGAGCATGTAAGAGTTTAAATGATTCGGGAAACTCCCTGGAAAGTGTGTGAGAGATTCCTTGCAACACATGCCGTGTCGTCTGCCAGATATTTGAAGGGGAACGATCTCAATCCCTCATTTTCAAGTTCTAAATGTGTGCATATTTCACTCTCCACTGACGCGTATTACTTCTCAATACTGATCAGGACGCCAGCCACTCCCCTTCACCTTCTTGTCCTGCATGGAAGACAGAATCAGAACATCAGGGGAGACAGGAAATCTGTTGCCTTCTCCGAGGTTCCTGGAATCTTGGGCTGGTCGCCTTCCAGATCGGATATCAGCGCCTCCACCTGCATTCTGATCAAACTTTCCCTCAAACTGACAAGAAGTCAAGGACCTCATCCTCCTGGAGCTCTTCGAATCTCTTCGCGATGACCGCTGCAAACATGGTCAGGTCAGCATCACAACCCCATGGCTGTAGTCCACCGTCTTCGTAGGCTTTAAGCTGCTTGGAGTAGGTCATGTCCTTTGTACCAACCTGACGTCACCTCGTAAGTGCATCGCAAGGTTCTACAAGCGCCATACCCTGAAGATGTATGAAAAGGTCCACGCTGCACACAACCCTACCATGTAAACCGCTGCGATGATTCTTCCAGCCTTCCCGTTGGTCAGCATTCGGCTCACTTTCTCACGACAAGCTTCACCTGGAGCTCATCGCCGACAACAGCAGTAACAGGCCCGTACGCCAAAAATGGTGCGACAAGCAAGATGATGGACCAGACGATCGCGCCGCTGCCAGTAGAAAACGGCGAGTCAGCTGATCGAAATGGCAGACAAAGATGACGTACCCGCGGGTATCAAGACGCAGCCATGGAGAGACGTTGCTCTCTTCGCCTTGTGCCTTCTCCTCTGACATACGGACAGACGTTGCGACTGGGGCCTTCCTGAGAAGGCCTCTCTGCTGGAGCAACTTAGTGCATCGAAGGTGTGATGATGCTCTTGCGAACCGACAGAGCCAGCCTTCTTGGCGACGACAAGGAGAGATCGGATCGCAGGGAAACATGGGAGAAGCTGAAGCCCTCTGCAGCAACTTTCAGTATCGATCGTGTGTGCCCGCCGAGGTTTGTCTCGAGCTCTATTCCTAGTATACTAGCTGCCCTGAACCCAGCATGCAACCTTGCCTGACTCCCTTTAATTCCTGCTCCTAGACCCCAACAAACGTGAAATCATATCACTCATGATCAGTCAGGTGCTGACTCTTGCGTATCTTTGCTCCAGGACGAGGTCAGCCCGTCTTCTTCCTCCTCTCACCTGCTAGTCCTGCCGCTGCAAGCGCGGCCACCACGGCGAGCCTGGACATTCTTGCGCTTAGAACTGTTAGCAGCCCTCATCCCCTTTCTGCCCAATGATGGAAATTGTCACGCCCGCCTCAGTACCATCGACAAAAAAAAAAGTCATTTTTTCGGCACCGAGTTGAGGACTATCGCATGGGTCTGAGCATGCACCCGACATATAAACAAAGTGACCACCTGAACCCCTCATGCTAGTGGACTGAGGCGCCGGGGGACTTGCGGGGGTCCTGCTGATCTGCCAACTCGTGTATTGCCTCTCCCTCAGCCTTTGACACGAAATGTTCTTGCCCCCGGCATACCTGATTTTAACTTAACTTTGAGTAAACCTGACTCCATACCCCCTTTTTTACATCACACACCACCCCCACATTGACCTTTGGCGTTAGCTTTCCGGATTGAAACAGCGTCCTGCCCGGCGTCCGCAGAGACACCTTGAAAATGGCGAGCTCGAGCTCAAGGTTGTGCTCTTCAATGAGCGTTGCCGTGGCTCTCGTAGCTATCTTGATCCCTGCCATTGGAGGTTTCTACTTCGGTTTCATCATGGACTATAAGAACAAGTTTAGGTCTGACCTGGCAATGTCTTCTGCTACAATAAGCACTCGTACCAAACTTCGCGTTACATTTGAGGTTACAAAAGTTTTCGGATCAAGCCTGAGCCCAGATCGAAGGTCCCTGCATGAGCTTAAGAATCAGAGCATATCTTCAGCTGTCAGCCTACTGTGTGAATGCGGCTGTTGTACTTCTTTCTTGGGTTTCTGTTCTTCATGCTGTTCATGTGCTCCGGATTCAGGTCCTTGCTCTACTCGTCGGACTGGTCGCTGCGGCTGTTGTACTTCAGGTTGGGTCTACGGTTGCTCTGGCAGCTGTGGCGGAGCAGGTTCTGGACCTTGCAGCACCCGCGAGACGTATGAATGTGGATGTTGCGAGTCTGGGATCCTTTATGGATGCCTGGGAACATGCGGCGATGCCCAGGGAACAGGGCCGTGTAGCACACGGGCGACAGGGACATGCGGATGCTGCGCCCAAGGATACTTCTGGGGCTGCAGAGGATCATGCGGGGGAACGACCTACTCCTCAGCTGTCTTCGACTCTCTCGTGGGAGAAGCTCAGTTATCACTGATAAAATTCGGAATAGGATACCTTGCCAAACCAAGATTTCTCGCGCAGATCGATATCGTCAAGACTTCGTATTCATTGACAACCGACATTTCGTCGGATCAAAACTTGATCCTGTCTATTACTGAGAGTATACTGCGGAAAAGCAATAAATTCATTCCACCTCCATATGGAACAGCAATACGAATCGGATTGGGTGCATATGACTTCATAACCACGTATGAAGAGACCGGAGACATTTGGCAAGCTTCATGGGCAGCAGTTTCCGGCATCAAAATGAAAGATGTAAAGGCGGTGGGGAAATTGCTGGGAAATCAACTCAAGTCTTCCAACAAGTTGAATAAGGGATCGCAATCTGCCACACGAAACGTGGTCCATTGGAATCATACAAACGCCAAGCTGCGAACAGCTCAGCCTCTCATGGTCAAGGTCACTTTCTTAGTGAATGTGACTGACGAAGCAAAACTCTTGAATGTCTTGAATGAAGTCGGCCAGGAGCAGTTTTTCACTGAAAGCGCGCTGGATCCAGTGACTTACGGCTTCTGGGACGACACCCAGACATTGGTAGTTGGTTGTTTGTTCGAGCAGTGCGTTCCTCAGGTCCTGGTAGAGCCTTCTTCGGAGATTTCGCTGAAAGTTTCCTTTAACTACGCGGCTGCTTCCAGCGGCCTGACATCTACCACTAGAAGCACAATCAGGACAGTGCTGGCCAACGCCGCTGGCCCTCTTTCCTCACAGAACGATGTGACTATCAACAGCGAAACTAGCGCTTCCTCATCTTCTACTACTATGATGGCCACTATCAGCATGAAAAGCAAACTGTATGCAAACAAGGCAGCCGCTACAATGACCGCTTCAAATCTTAACTCCGAGGCTACAAAAGCAGCGCTAGGTACCAATTTGTTTTCATCGGTGTCTGTTGCGACATCGTTTTCCAACTACACTGTTGCGCCGCTTCAGATTCCTCAGGAAACAACCACAACCGCAGACGCCACCACGACCACGACCACGACCACGACCACGACCACGACCACGACCACGACTACAAGCAGAATCACAACAACTACGACAACCATTGCAACAACTCCTCCACCTCAGAAATCGGAGTCATCCGGAGGAACAAATCTACCGAGCGATCAGGGGATTCTAGGCTCATCTCAAAGTCATGACAACACTCAGAAAACGGCTTCATCTTCTGATAGCAACAATACGAGTCAGAGCACGGGAGCGACTGAGATCAGCAAAGCAGACAGTTCTCCACTTATCATCGTCGTTGTCGTGGCGTGTGCATTTTCTGCCATCGGCATTACAGTAATTGCTGTAGTGTATGTTCGGAAGCAGAGATTGAAGATTGCGACAGTCGCCAATGAGTCTCAAGTGCGAGCAGCTTGTGTGCCAGACATTCCGACTGGAGTGACTGTTGTGAACTGTAAAGAGTATGACTCTGATTCAGAAATGAAATAAAGCACTGTAAGGCTACCGTTCATGGTTCATGGCAAATTGCCCAGGAAACTGAGTGTCTGCACAGATACTGCGCACCAGGGGCTCGAAACAATATGACCCGCCGCACAAGTTGTGACCGGTTTCCGAGGCTGTGCAGGGTGACTGTTCTGCAACAACTGAGCTGCTGGGAACAGTCTAATCATTGTCACGGTCTTACCATGACTGCCTTGCCACTGGCAGGCTTAACTTTGAGCTGAAGGTCAAGGGTGAAGGTCCAATCGGCGGCCGGAGGCCCGATGAGTCTGACCCCGACAGGCTACGTCCGATCACCCGGCGGCGGCAAGTTGAGCCTGAGCCCGGTCGCCTGCCGGGCCCGGGGCAGCAGCACGGCACACTAGTACAAAAAAAAGTCAAACAGTAAAACGGCAATGCAACAGCTTGCTGTCCAACAGCTTGAGTCCTTGAGATACAGAGCAGCAGCCTGAGAGCTCTGAGTTCACCATGCCTGAAAGACCCGAGGGGATCCAGCGGCCTCCATCTGCAAGGTCAGTTTCAGGAAGGCCAGGCTCGCTCGTTAGGACAAGGTCAGGTGGTACTGTAGTATCGTCGGGGCCGTCCAACCCTACCACACCAAGGTCGACGACACGGTCCTTCATTGCTCGTCCTCCCCCTCTCTTGGCCGATGCCCTCAGGTCGATCAGCATGAGAAGGACGTCGGTGGCAGAATCGAAGCTGCTGCCCTTCGCGCAACTGATGTCTCTGCATGAGTCGCTGATGAGCCAGACTGGCAGGATCACCCTGAAGTTCGCGATGCAGGCACGTGACTTGTTTGACACGATCGACGTCAAGGCTGAGGGCCTGCTGACTCAAGAGAACCTGATGGCATGGTTGACGGATGACTCTGATGTAAGAAAAGACACCCTTACCCCTGTGACACCCTCGTCAGATAGGTTTGCCGATCTCTCTCAGACATCCCGGGCTGTATCTCACTGATTCTTGTTCAACAGGGAGCGCAAGAGGTCCATACGGCCGTTCTCGTTGCTGAAAGAGAGTTACAGCAAGGACAAACGGAAGTACAGTTTTGTCACCCGCACCATCATGGATGGGATCGAGATGTCAGAGGCACAACCAGGCAGCCGAGTGGAGGCAGAGAGGTCTGGACTGCTCCAAGAGATCCCGATGCCTTCTGTCCGGAAGGTCGTTGACAAGATTAACAAGGCTTGTGTCGAGCACAATGGCAAGCTGAAGTTCGTGGAATTCCTGGCCGTGTTGTTTCCCACGGAGAACAGAAACTTTTTGGAGAAGCTGGAGCAGAGAGTGATCGAGAAGCGCCTGGAGAAGGTGGACATTTTGAATCCAATGCAGAACGAAGAGCTGCAAGAAATCTTTGACATGATCGATGTCGACCATGATGGCTCCATCACCCGCGACGAGCTGGTCAAGGTGGCAAGTGGCTCGGGATCAGGGATCGACGAGAAAGAAGTTCTAGAGCTGTTCAGCTTGTTTGACACCAATGGCGACGGGGTCGTGAACTTCGACGAGTTCAAGGCCCTCATGTCAGGGACGTACCTACGATCCTTCTTCCATGCCGAGAGCGTCTCCCACGTGATCTACCTCAGCAAGGAGAAGTACCCGGCCTCCTCAGTCGATCTTGCAAGAGAGCTCCCGCAGAACCACCTGTGCAACGAGATCCTCCAACAGCTGGAGGAGCTGCAGAGCGAGCCGTTCACCACCATCCGGTTTGCGGACAGTGTCCAGCCAGCCATCAAGGGTTTTCTCCTCCTCCACGACAGGACTGCACCCGACTTCGACCAGTCGAGATGGAGAAATCTTCTCTTCTGTATCAGCGCAGACAACCTGCTGACCTACACTCTCTTCGGTTCGGAAGTCGAGGTTGGCACGCTCGACAGTCTGCTCTTCTATCACACGATGGAGTACGTGGGCTGCCCGTCGGGCTGGGCAGGGATGTACCTGGAGTTCGACGAGAGCGTCAGGGAGGAGAACCGGATTCTTCGCCTCTCCGCGAGGAACGAGAGGGAAGCTGAGAAATGGCTGGACATCATCGCCTCCCGAGTCCCTCGGTTCCGGGTGCCCCACCGCCCTCCCCGTCAGTACCAGGTCGAGATGGAGAAGCCTGACCACGCCAGCTTGCAGATCTTGCAGACGAACAAGCTCATGGTCCCGAGCCAGCTAGAGGATTCAGGATGGTACGCAGTGCACGAGGGGCAGATGTCGCAAGAGAAGCTTGCTTTCTCGGCGGGAGTGGACGTTAGGATCGTGATGTACAAGAAGAAGGTGGAGGAGGAGGCGGTTGAGATCCGGCTGAGTGACCCTGACGAGACGTTCTTCTCGCTCAAGAGGAGGCTTGACAAGAAGAGCAGGATGCAGGAGAGGGCAGCAAAACTCTTCCACGAGAACCTGCCCAACCTGAGCAACTGCGATGATGATGGGACCAACCTGTTCTCCCTCGGAGAGAACCTCTTCCTCCTTGACAGCTGCACCGTCCGCCTAGAGGAAGTCGTCTTGCTCCCGATGCAGTCCGACGACCCCAACTCAGCGATGCTGTGGAAGATCCATCGGCTCCGTCAAGGCATCTGCCTCAAGGACAAGACGCAGGTAACACACACGAAGAAGACGGCGCAGCGCCTGTCCTTCACCGGGGACTTCGAGACCTTCCAGAAGAAGAAGGAGGCGGAGGAGCTGAAGAAGAGCTCGATCAGAATCTTTGAGCTCATCATCACCATCAACGAGATCCTCGACGTCCCAGGTGTCGAGCATCGTCATCCCAACCTCTACTGCAAGGTCTCTGTCGGCAACCAGGAGTTCCGCACACGGACCATCAAGTGGGGCATCAACAACGAGTGGGACCAGACGTTCCGCTTCACGGTCCCTACTGAGCTGGATGGATACGGCAGGGAGCAAATCGACCATCACTCGGAGCTTCGCATCATTGTGTACGAAAGACATACAGAGTCCAACAAGTCGGACGAGGCGATCGGGTTCGTCTGCAAGCGGCTCAACATGGTGCATGCCAAGATCCTTGCTCGCAATGTGGAGGAGCAACAGCGGCAGCCCTCGGAAGACGCGCTGAAGCTAAAGAAGTCGGCCAAGAAGGGGAAGCTGCCTGGTAAGATATCAGAGCATGACAGGGCGAGCGCTGGTGGTACGTCTACTGCCGACGTCAACTTTGTCTACAAGCTCTCGCACGAGGGGAAGGAGAGCTCGATCGAACAGGCTTCTCTCTCAGTCGCTCTGCGCTTCAAAGTCTCCACCGTCGGTCCTGAGGGACAGACCAGGGCTGTCAGCTCGTCCAGACCCAGGCAGCAGCGCTACTGGGACTACGACGAGAACCTGCTCTGGTGGCTCAACCCCTCCTCCTTCTCCGTCGTCAAGCAGACCCAGGACGGCATCGGTGCCCTGCAGATCCTCGTCATACGAGCCGTCGGCCTTCTCGCCTCCGATCCCGACGGCTACAGCGATCCCTTCGTGCAGCTCTCGCTGGGTCCCCTCGTCGCCCGGACGCAGGCGAAGCGGAGGACGCTGAACCCCTTCTGGAACGAGTCGTTTGTGCTCGAGTACGCCGACGACACCACCGAGCTCAAGGCTAAGATCATTGACCAGGACCCCTCTACCGAGCAGCCCATCGGAGCCGTCACCTTCCCCCTCCTACGCCTCGTGGCTGGCGAGACGCTCTGCCAATGGTTCCCCATCATCCATGGGACCATCCACGCGGGCCAGCTCCTCCTCCTCCTCCGGCTCGCCAAGGTATCCTCCTCGCCCACGACGCCGTACGGGATCAAGAGCCTTCACGTGAGGAGGCAAGGGCAGCACGTGAAGCCACGTCACCCTCAGAGCCAAGTGGACAGCAAGAACATCACGATCGAGCACATGGAGGACGCGATGATCCTGGAGACAGGAATCTGCCCCCTTCATACCTACACCGTCACTACCATCAAGAGGTGGCAGAGAACCCGTGGGTTCCTGTACAAGCTCAACAGCTACGCCAGCGGCACCGAGGAGCTTCACTGGAGGAAGAGCCTGTTTGTGTGTGAGAACGGCCTCCTCTCCTACTACTCCACGGGCAAGAAAGACGGCAAGGTCTCCTGTGATCCTGCGATAAGGGACCCCGTGACGGGATTTACTGCAGGGTAGAAAGGTTTCCTTCCTCTTCTGTGCTGACGTGGACAGCTTGGAGAGATACGGGCCCGAGCTGGGGGAGGAGGAGGTAGCCAAGATTCACTGAGAGGGAGAGCAGGGATTCTGACTCTGCCCTGCGCTGCCAGCCCACGTTGAGCTCGAGCAACCGCACGCTCTTCTTCTCCTCCTGCTTCAGACTCGTCACTTGCAAGGACCCGAGGCTGCAGTCAGGACAGGTGAGGGAGAACAACATGCTTCCTCCTCTACCCCCTCACGAGCTTCGTCGATACAGGACAGGGGCCTGCAAATGTCCTTTGTGTTCGCGGCAGGGAGCGACGAGGAGCGAGACGGGTGAGACCCCAGCGCCTGCACTCTCCCACCTGCCGCAGAGACTGAACGAGTTCCTGTAGGTGGATGAAGATACTGGCTGATCAGAGCAGGAAGTACTCGGCCGACCGGTGACTCGAACACCAGTGAGTGCTTGTGTAGTCTGTGTAAAGGCATGTCGATAGCTGTAAACTTTTTAACTTAAACTTTCAAATCACCACGCCTCCTCGACTCTTCTGAATGTCCTCATACTGATTTTTAGCTTGACTTTAAGTAAAGCCAGCCAGTCTCAGTTCGTACGGTAGATTTCGCGGCACTGAGTGACTGATCGGACCCGACCGGCCGGGCCCCGGAGTTCCCGGACCGTCCAGTCGCTCAGTACTACGGTAGTTTGAAGGAAGACCAGTGCTTGACTAGGTCCATCAAGATTTGAGGACTGGCCGGAATGGAGGAAGAGGTGGAAGGAAACGACGCTGGAGAGGGAGAAAAGGGGATGAAGAGGGAACTAGAGATCGGATCTAGATGTAACTGGATGGTTTGATAGAATGTGAGGAGTAATAGTGTGATCTCAGTGAGATTTCTGCCTGTTTTGTACATGAGACTGTTCAATAACTGACCGTTGGTCACCGCACTTGCTCGCTCAATTTCAATGCCGTGTCTTGTCTGCTCGTTGTCAATCTCTTGAAAAAGGAGAAATACTCTTGAAATTCTCAAAGTTGTTATGAATGGCTGCAAGAAAATGCATGTTTTCAGCATCAGGAAAAGAATCAACCTGCATTCGCAACTTGCAAATTTCTCTCTTGTACTTCCAAGAAGTATTGCAAATTCCACTCTTTCTTGGTTGATGTGCTACAACATGGTATGCGCTTTGTACCGCGAATGATCATGACTTCACAAGCTCGCGTTGATTCTCACGAGATGACAATCGTTCCAGTTGCAAACAGAGTTGATGTCTGTTTGACTTGGTCAACATGGACATGATCACTGAGTTCTTTGGTCAACAAACTCCAACGAGGAGTCCTCCGAACCCTCTCCGCCTTGGCTTCAAGTAAGTAGCTCTACCGCACTTCCCGCATGTTGCAACCTCCCTTCTGAACTTCCTTGCTCCATTGACCATCGAAAATGTTTGGTTTGAAACCTGTTCTTCTTCTACGTTAGTTTGTACTCAAAGAGCCTACTGGAAGTCATGAGTCCTTCCAGAGAGCCTCGTCTGTCCTCATGCTCCTCCCTCTCGTCTCGCCTACTCCTCCTCCCTCAACCCCTGAATGCATTCTTGGCAGGTTCGAGGTGCATGGCGACGGACTACTTGTGACAGCAGTCGATCACCTGTCTCCTGCATATGATGCTGGGATGCTGGTGGGAGACCTCATCGTCGCCGCGGGGTCGGACGACTCGGACATCATCCCCTCCTCACGGTGCCTCCCGATGCTGCTGCTGCTGCTCCAACTCCTTATCCTCTGCTACTCCTCCTCTTCCTCATCCTCTGATGCTGCTCCTCTTGCTCTGATGCTGCTACCCTCTTCCCCCTCCTCCTCCTCCTCCTCCTCCTCCTCCTCCTCCTCTGAGGATGATGATGATGTTAATGATGATGACACTCCCCTGACGAACATGGGAATAGGGATATGATACCGCAGCTGATCGTCATGCTGAAAGAAAGGTCCTCTGTGCTCCTCCTCGTCCGAAGGAGGAATGTCGAGTTCTCCATCCGCATCGACAAGACTCGAAGACAAGTTAGCTCCTCCTGCTCTCTCCTCAACGCTGATTGCTTCCAGGACGACCCGGCGGAGGGACAGTATCAATCCCAGGTGCAAGGATGGAAAGGAAGCCCGTCAGTATACAATGACAGGATACATAACGCCATGCAGACTCCGTCTCCGAATGTGAGTTCAACTCCCCTCCTCCCACGCCCAAAAGTACGCACGCGTGCCTCCCTCCCTCCCTCCCTCCCTCCCTCCCTCCCTCCCTCCCTCCCTCCTATCTATTCTTTCCTCGCTCCCCCTTTCCCTCTCTCTCTCTTCTGTCCATTCTTTTCCTTCTCCCTCCTATCCATTCTTCTCCTCCTTCCTTCCCATGTATTCCTCTGGCAGCTTCCTCCTCATTAGTGCCAACTCAGCATCCACTGCACTCGGCACCAACATGGGGTGAGGGATGGGCAAGAAAAGGAGACTTTGGAAGGCTGGCAGGAGCTGGAGCTGGAGCTGGAGCTGGAGCTGGAGCAGGGGCAGGAGCAGGGGCAGGGGCAGGAGCAGGAGCAGGAGCAGGGAGGAACATTGAAAATCACTTCTCTCCTCTTGCTTCAGCTCCACAGCAGCAGATCGTGAGAGGACAGTGGGGGCTGCAGGTGAATCAACACGCAGAACAAGTGCACTCGACTCCTCCCAAGAACGAACAGGTAAGTACGGAGGGAGATAACAGCTCGCTCGACGCTGATGGCGCTGACGCCTCGCCAGCAGGAGCTGGAAGAAGCACAGGAAAAGCTTTCGGCAAGGAGCAAGGAGGCGCAGAAAGAGCAGCAGGCGGCTAGGGCACCCTCGCATTCACCTGCCAAGCTCGAGGATAGGAGGCAGAAACTCAAAACCCCGTTGGCGCCCCAGGAAAAAGCAGCTGAGGGCCCGAGCCCCTCGAGAGGAAGAGTGTCACCAACGAGAGAGAAGCAGGTAAGCTCAAGAGAAGAGGAGGAGGAGGAGGAGGAGGAGGAGGAGGAAGAAGAAAAGAGTTGGGGAAGAGTACGAAGAGTGGGAGGGAGCATGGACTGTTGAAGCAACGGCGGAGAATCTGACGTGCTGCAAGATCTTGTCAAGATTCGGAGACGAGCTCGACAAGATGAGGGAGACTCGTCTGCGAGAAGGACTCCTATCAGGCAAGCTTGAGTTCCTTGCTTCTCTCACCCACTCAACCTCCTTCCCTTGATGACTGGATCCCATCCTCCTCCTCCCCGTCTCCCCCTCTCCCTCACGCTCCCATTCTCTCCTCTTCTCCACTTCAATCTCACTTTCCTGACTATTCTTTCAGACTCCTCGCACGCTTTCCAGAAGCTTCAGAAGAATCACTTGATCCACTGGCAGGGAAGGGAAGAAGGAACACACCAGCGATCTGCCGCCAGGAGGGAGAAGATGTAAGAGAAGATATTGGAAGAGTCCAGGAGAGAAGAGAAGAGAAGAGAAGAGAAGAGACAGGAAGAAGAAAACGAGGAGGAGGACGAGGAGGAGGAACAGGGGAATGAATCTGATGATGAGGAATTGGAATGTTGGGAAAGGAGGTTGTGGTAGATCGATCCTAGGGAGAGGAAGAGGTAGACGGCCATAGAGGAGATGAGTGGGAATGAAGGAGGAAGTAGAGGCGGGGAGGAGGAGGAAGCAGGAAGTTTCAGCTTCTCCTCTTGACATCCCATGGCAGAATCGACGACCTGGTGAACGTGGAGAACAGGAGGGAGGAAGATGCCCGACAGCTGCAGCAGGAGATGGAGCAGCTGAAGAGAATCCTGGCGAGCACCCAGGATAAGCTCGCCAAGGAGGAGCAGGAGAAGAGAAGCGTCATGAGCCAGCTCGAGCAGGCGCAGGGGAGGATGGAGAATCAGAAGCTCGCGATTCGAGATCTCGAGGCCTCCCTCGCTGCCATTAGAGACGCTCAGCTCGTCTCTTCCTCCTCTTCCTCGGCTGCGGACCAGCAGCGGCATATCGAGCAGCAGCAGGCCAGGATCGGCCAGCTCGAGCGGCAGCTGCATATGCTGGAGCAGGCAGGTCCTCAGCAGGAGAGGGAGGGTGTCAACCTCGCTTCCCAGCTCCAGTACCAGCTGGAGGAGATCTCGAGGGAGAAGGTCCACCTGCTGGAGCGGATCTCTGTGCTGGAAGAGCAGCTGAGGCAGCAGGAGGGAGGGGCTAGGGACCAGCAGGAGACGGGAAGGAAGTTCGAGGAGCTGCAGGAGAAGCTGCAGGCAAGCGAGCGGGCGGCGCACAAGAACCACATCAAGTATAGGAGGCAGCAGCAGCAGTGTGACAGCCTGCAGAAAGAGCTGAACAGGTGGAGGGAGGAGGCGGAGGAGCTGAGAAGGAGGCTGAAGGACATGGAGGAGGTTGAGGAGTGTCATGAAGTCCCAGGGAAGGAAGCAAAGAATGAGGAAGAGTTCCGTCAGCTGGCGGAGGAGAACCGTTTTAAGAGGGAGGCGCTGCTGGAGCAGGAGAAGGAGCTCGTGTCTGTGATGCATGAAGCGAGGATGGTCGAGAGGAGCGCGGCGAGCGCCAAGGACGGTCAGGAGAGCCTCCTGCTGGAGGCTGTGCTGGAAGCGTCGAGGGAGCTGCAGGCCGCGAAGGAGATGATGGAGAAGGGCAAGGAGATAGAGGAGCAGCTGCAGTTTCAGCAGAGTGTGGTGACTGACTTGACCCTCGAGCATCGCAGACTGAACGAGCTGATCGTGGCGGCGAGGGAGGCGGCGGTGAAGGTGAGGAGGGGAGTCGTTATTGCAGCTAGATAAAAGTCGAGGCGATGGTGAGGAGGAGGAGGTGAAGGATGAGGAGGAAAAGAAAGGGGAGGAGAGGGAGAGAGGAGAGGATGATCATGATCATGATCATGATCATGATGCTGATAGTGATTAAGATAGATAGGAAGGATGCACGAGATTATTCTCCCCCTCCTTCCTCGTCGCCTTCAAACCTCTCTCCCTCCTCCTCACCTTGGCTCCTCAGGTTCGGCCCAGGGGCATCGTCCCTATCCGCGTCATGGGAGCTCTCGACACACGACCAGGAGGCGTCATGCGAGCAGCTGCGGCGGAAGGAAGGTTTGGGATGACGCTGGAGGAGAATCAGGTTGGGAATGTCTCCTTGCTCCCCACGAATCTCCTTTCCTTGACTGCTCCGCCCTTCCCTCTATCTTGTGACCGTCTTTGCCTTCGCACTTGTCCTTCCTTCTCCAGCTTCTCCGCTGCCCTCCTCACCTTCATCAACTCCTTCTCAATACCTATCTCTGCTCCTAGGTTGCTTCGTCCCTTCTCTTCTCATCTTCTCCTGTGTGATCCATTCGCTGTAGACGTCCGCCAAATCGTGTCACAACCCGAAGCTTTACAGGGGTTGCAGGCACATGCGTCAAAGCTTGCAAAGCTGCTCAGAGATCCAACCTTTCATCCGTTCGTGCTCGACCTCTCCGACCCCAAGTAGCCCCCTCTTCCCTCCCTTCCCCTCTCCTCCTCCCCTTACCTCTCTTTCTGATCTGCTCGGATAAATGGCATGCTCTTGCCATGGTTTCCATACCTTCCCTCCTTTCTCTCCTGCTCTCCATGGTTTTCGATTCCTCTCCCCGCCTCCTCACCTCCGCTGTCCTCGCTTTCTGCCTCCTTACGGTATCCCCAGCAACCCTCGTGAGAAGACGAACCGACGGGACCCTCGTCTCCTTCAGATCCGTCACGACTACGGCACAGCCGTAGCAGAGGACATAGTTCCCACAAAAGGCGGCAAAAAGTTCGGAACTTGGAAGCCCTCATACCGCACTGTCACGACGAGGCGCATGGGAAACATGGAAGAGAGGGATGTTGAGAGGGAGTAGAGAGCTAGAGAGCTGCTCGCTTTGAGTTGACAGCGTCGTCTTTTGATCTCCATCTAACTTCACATCTTGTGATCTCTCTCGCGATATCGGGTAGATTGCTTCTCTCTCACACACCACAACGTGATCACCTCTCCTTCCTTCCTCATGGTTTCATCGTCGGATGCTGGCCTTCGGCGCTCCGGCTATCGCCATGCTCTACTACTTGGCGTTGTGCTTGCCACCCTGATATCAAGTGTGCATGGGAAGGTTACGCCATGTGCGGTTGCGACCTGGAAGTTCGGAGAGATCGCAGTCAGAGAGGCAGCGAGATGGCTAGCGGAGGGACACTCAGCAGTCGACGCAGCAGAGAGAGCGGTGAACGCGGTCGAGCTTGACACGCAGGATCAGTACTTCGTCGGAGTAGGAGGGCTCCCAAATCGGGACGGAGTCATGGAGCTTGACGCCGCCATCATGCGCGGTAGGGGGTACCGGCTAGGATGCGTCCTAGCGGTTCAAGGGATCAGCACTCCCGTGTCAGTTGCTAGGAAGCTGATGGAGCACGGGCAGCACACCGTGCTGGCAGGTGAAACTTTGAGAATGAGGGAGCAGCATGTCGACGTGATTGTCTTGGAAACAAGGAGAAGGAGCGAAAACGTTTGCGCTCGAGAACGGGTTCAAGGAAGAAAATATCCTGACCGACGAGAGGTAAGGTAGAGATTATAACGAGCGCTGCTGAAGATTTCATGCAAGCCGTAGAGAGTTTGAACTATGGAAACGTGAGCAGAACTTCACCGTCGACAAGGAGGCATCGCATGACACGATTGGAATCATGTTCGAACCTCGCAGGATTTCGTGAAATGTTCAGTTTACCTCTGGGTTGCAGATGTCGAGATGAGACAGGCGAGCTTGTCGTAGCAACTTCGACTAGCGGATGGAAGTTCAAGGTAAGATCTGAAAACAACCCGCGGGGAGATGAATGATGTCATGGGACTAGCTACCTGGCCGAGTGGGAGACTCGCCCTTGGTAACTATGCTTCCGCTACCTTTCCTTTGGGATCACTGAGGGACTCAGGTTGGCTCTGGTTTCTACGTGGATCAGGCGTGCGGTGCGGGTAGACGAGCGAAGTTTGCTTTTTCATCGCCGTGATCAGTTCTTCGATAGCTGTGGCAACAGGGGACGGCGAAGAGATCATGCGAGGCTGTCTGAGCTTCCTGGTTACTGGCGCCCTTGGGGGGTCGGAGGTTGAAGGGTAGGGCAGGTGGTGGAGAGGATGAGAATGGGCGATTCTCCTACTAGGGCGTGCGAGCATGCGATAGCTCGGCTCAGGTCAAAGAAAGAATTTCTGTTCCTGCTCCTGACCTTGCACTAGGGCCATCCAGAGCTCCGGAGCTTCGTTCCAGGGTGAAAACAGACAGCACAAGGTATTCAGTTTGTAGAAGCCTGAATAGAGTTTTATTCGCTCAAACTCCAGAAGCTGACCGTCGGGATTGTTGCAATGAACACCAACGGCGATGTCGGGGCGTCTTCGACTTTGGGTATGATCTGTGAAGGTTTGAAAAACTCGTCATCACTACATGCACAGGCCCTGCCAATATCCACAGGGGCAAACCAGCATTTCCTTGCATCGTCTGGAAGCAGGTGGGAGCAAGAGTTGGCGGAGAATCGATGACATTTATTTGCAGGGGCGAGGCTTAGATGTGATGTATGCTTCGGAGAACACTTCGCCTCTGCGAAACCCGTGTTTTTCAGGTCTTTGACAAGAATATTTGCTTGCCTGGCCCCTCTTGACCATCCCCTAATGTTGAAAACACACAGCAAATGCATTTTTCAAGGGAATCTTAAAGGTTTTAGTTTCCTTGGCCTCCATGTGTGGACTACAGCGGGTCTTGGCGAGATTTCATCGTCCTTAATACACAAGTGCCTCAAACTCTCTGTCAGCAGCTTCTCCTTACTAAACTGAACTCAAGTCTTGCATCCCATTCAGTAGTATCCGAGTCGCTCACCTACTCGCCGACCATAGTTCCGACGGTTCACAACGCCATGATGCCATGATGCCGAGTTCCATCCATGGTCTGTAATTTGAAAGTTTTGCAGATTTTTCGAATTTTCACTTTCAAAGTTATAATTTTATTATGGTGTGCAGCAAAGCATCGCAGTAGTGGAAAGTAGAAAATGAAGAATAGCGCAGACAAGGTGAAGTGTCGACATGTTGGATGATTCGTGTTGATGTTCCCCTATCTCTTACCTCTCCTTGTAAGCCCCATCTCTCTCATCTTTGTTCCCAGATCAGCTTGCCATGTCCAACATTGATCGCTCCCCCTTGAAATTCTCCCTTCAGCTTCGCTCACTTCTAGCTGGACAAGAATGCACGGATCTGATAGGATGCCATGATGCTATTGGGGCCAAGGTAAACCTCACATGTTCGTGCGAGACGCGTCTGAATTGTCTCAATGCAAGCTCATTGAGGGCGCTGGGTTCAAAGCCGCTTTCTTCTCAGGGTTCGCTTTCAGCGCTTCTCGTCTAGGAATGCCAGACGTGGGGGTCGCAACGTATTCCGAGATGGCAGATGCTGGTAGAGACGTCTGCAATGCTGTCAAGATACCGGTGATCGGGGACGGCGACACGGGATATGGTGGAACCCTCAACGTGAGGAGGACGGTGAAGGGATTCGCACGAGCAGGGTTTGCTGCAGTGAGCATAGAGGATCAATGCTTCCCAAAGCGCTGCGCGTATGCTAGCGGAGTACAAGTCGTGGGAGTGGAAGAGGCGCAGGAGAGGATTGAGGCAGCGATCAGAGCCAGGGATGAGTCAAGAGATGAAGGTTGGGACATCCTCCTCATCGCAAGAACAGACCGTCTTAAAGTCAAGGGCACCAGGCCTCGAGCCGATGTGAGCGAGATTGTTGCAAACACATCGCACGTCTCCAGCACACATGTAAGACCCTGCTCAACAGGTCTTGCAAGAGACGATTAAACTCTGCAGGCGCTTCCAAGAGGCTGGTGTAAGTTGCTGTCTGCGTGAACAGAGTCACAAAGGTAATTTCCCACCATCCGCAGGCAGACATTGTCTACGCTGAAGGCCTTGCAAATCAAGAAGAGATGGAGATCATCAACCGTTCTCTACAAGTTCCAACAATGCTGGCGCAAGTAATTCTGCAACAACCTGATTTCTTCCCTCTCCTTACTGTTGCCCTCCTTCAATTCTGCTCCAATTCCGTGTTGTCACGGCCTCCCTCTACAGGTAGAACGGCCTGGGGTACACATTTTCAGCTCAGGAGAAGCTGGAGGTCTAAACCTTCCCATCGTTCTGGTCGTCCGTGTTGAGAAGAAAACTGAGACCTGATGGCAGCGATGGGATTCCGCCTTTCATTGCGGGGAGTGACTTTGCTCAATTGCTACATTGCTGCTGTGAAGGTATTCTTCTCGATCTCAGGGATGGAGCCTGTGTTCCGTCCGATATACAAACCCTCGCTCACTCCATCATCGCAGAGCACTCTCCAAGCTATAAAGAACGAAGAACAAATATCAACGGAGCCAAGGGAACCTTGTAATGACACTGTCACTGCTGAACTTGCCACGTTCAACTTGCCAACTGATTCAGTTCGGATTCTTGCAGATTTGTTGCCCTTTGATGAACTGTACCGAACTGTTGGCTTCAACGAAGCGTACGAGTGGGAGAGGCAGGGCCTCGGCGGCGGACTCCGTGACTCAGTGACTGAGTCTTGAGTCTGTGAAGCGCCGGGCTCTGAGGCAGGCCGCCCGCGCGGCTCACCCCCGAGTCCCTTGACTCCGAATGAGACCGTGCGGCAGTGCCCGCCGGGCGGGGGCCGGGCCCCGGCGGCCGGGCCCGCGGCGATGGCAATGCCGCGGGCCATGATTCGGCGGAGTCCAGTGAGCGGAATCTCCCGATCGGATAAGCCAGCCAAACCGCAGATTTCGAGATATCCCTGAAGTCTTTTGAATACATTTCAAGTATTCACTTTACATTTGGGGAATATAATCAAGATTTTCGAGGTTATTTCGAACCGTTGTATCTTTTCTAGCCAGTCACATTTAAAACACATGTAAAGCCATATCTGGCTTTTACGCTGAAGGAGGTAGTATGGCGCGGAGAGCTCGCATCGACGAGCACATGGCTCGTGAAATCTTCCAGGTTCGCGTCCTCTTCCCTGCCGAAAAGACCTGGTCCCCTACGTCTCAAAGTGTGCTCCTCGCGCGGAAGTATGGCATCACTCCGAAAGCTGTGCGCGACATCTGGAACAGACGAACTTGGAAGCATGCTACCCAAATCATGTTCAGAGAAAGCGAGCCCAGCATCCAGAGAGCAAAGGAATCTGAGGATCTACAAGAACCAGACAAGTTTCAGAATGCGCAGAGATCAGAAAAACCTGAGAATGTAGAGAGATCAGATGAGTGTATGGGCCCGGGAGAATCAGATCAGTCCATAGGCTCGCACAGCAACAACTCAGTCCATGTCGACGAGAGTCGTTCCTCAAAACCCACCGGTCTAAGGCATGGAAGAGGCCCTGCAGATCAATCGACCTCGTATGATCCACAAGGATGGATGGTATGCCCGCAAATTATTGATCTATTCTTATCAGACGTGCCTGCTGCGGATAAAGATTGAACTGTGACATTACAAGCTGTGAACACATTAACGATGAGAGTACATGCTTGGTGAAGTCATGCAGAAAACAGCATGATGTCTACATGATGTCTACAAATACCTACTATTATTTCTGACCTCAAAGGGCAAAGCAGTTGTACTGTACTTCATGGCATTGAGATTGTTTAACTCCGCAATTTTTCGAGTTGTCATGAATTTGGGCCTAGGTACTTCAGATTTGAATAAAAAAAGGGATGATTTCCCTCTTAATATCACGTATTGATGATATGTCATTTTCAACATTCTGCGTTGTTTCATCTGCAGAACTAATGAGTATCCTCGGTGCTAACCTTTAATATTCGGATCCGAGTCATACACGAAGGCGCGTTGCAGTACAATCCTGAGCTCTGTTGAAGCTTGATCATCCCTCACGACGATCGATATTTCTATTCGTTCTGCGAAGGCCCAAGTGGCTTCTTTCCCGCTTGATGAGAACTGGGAGACAATGGTTCCTTCAAGTTTTCGTCAATCCGGTAGGATCTCTGCAAGGGTTGGGTCGAATTCGTCAGAACCAGTGGCAGCACGTCGGGTCATCATCGCCACCAGCACTAGCACCATCATGGCAGCACTACTGAGACCATCCGATCATCATTCTTGTCCGATCACCTCAGCAGCCATCGTCTATATGGCCACAACACAGTTCACTATCATCGCCGTCAACTCTGCTGCTACTTCCATCTGACTATCATCGCCGTCAACTCTGCTGCTACTTCCATCTGACTATCATCGCCGTCAACTCTGCTGCTACTTCCATCTGACTATCATCGCCGTCAACTCTGCTGCTACTTCCATCTGACTATCATCGCCGCCATCTGACATGAAGCTTTGCAGGCTGTGAACCTTCTGAGGTGTGCTGTTCTCTTAGTAATGTGCTTCTTGAGGGGTGGGGGTAGTACTAAAGTAACAGTTGTGGGGTCTATTTGTATCATAGCACCCCGGAGATTGTAGGGGGTGGGTAGTGCTTGAGTATGACCTTGGGGGTGGTGGGGTGTAGCAACTGGTAATCGCCAATGGTTTTTGCCCGCCAAAATCAATGGACAGAATGATGTGAAGTAGGAGAAGAGATGAAATTGCTTCAGAGACATGCTTGACAATCCCTTACACCGAGTGTTGAGAAAATGTGTGATACTTGAAGTAGAGGGACAGCTTGTAATCGTTTTGCAACACAAAGCACTGACAAAACTTGGTTTCCTGACTTAGTTTGGTGTTAGCAGGACGCATGTCGAATAGCAATACTGTTTTAATCTCTGATGAGGAATGCGCAATGGATAGGACGGCAATATATCGTCAGAACATCCGAAATATCCTGAAATCTACATCTTCATGTCGACCTTTAGGCAAGAGCCGATCCAACGTCTCATGTCAAAGTTCTGCACACCATGTGAAGAAGTTGAAAAGCGGGAGCGACAAAAGTGGACATGTTGTGGATCTTACAAGCAGAGAAAATTGTGTTGAGGTTTCTCCTGCTCCAACCTACAGGCGAGTAAGACCAGCTCGTGCCAGTGATGAATCCCAAGATTCTACAAGCCAACCAAGCCAAACAAGCTTGTTGACGTCTAGCACTTCAACGTCAAGGTATTTGACATGAGTGCTGTAGAATACTGTGATCTTTGTTCTAATACTTTGTTCTAATAAGGGTCAGGATGCAGATGCCAGTTTGCAAAGAGACCAGGAAGGAGCCCACGGGGATTGCTGAGGGTGTTGTTGGTAGCATATCGACCGGTTCTCGAAGCAACGAGCCTTTCAAGATATTCTCCTATCCCGCCAGGGGGAACATTTATCAGGTGCTTGTGCAATTAGGATGTTTTGCTCGATCCCAAGAAACTTATCACTCACGCAGGTCTATATCATGGACAAATTGTCTGGCCCGTTGCAACCGCCAAGAATGAAGTCTATAATCCACAATCAAGGCAAAATGGTGCTGTTCGCATGTCTCATTTATTTTTTTTGAAAACAGAATTCGATGCTCCTATTTTGAATTGGTTGATGCAGATTAAAGTGTTTTTTGATGGCCCGGACTGGTTTACTCAGCCCCATCCTCCCCGCAGAGGTTGGTGCATGTTTCTTGATTGTTGTAAATGACTCAATCGACGTTTCAGGTGAAGTAGCTTTGAGGGACATGATTGCAGAATTCAGAAGTCACAACAATGTAATGTGCTACAAAGTGCGGGAACTTCAGAATATTTTGACGTGCGTGCACTTCAATCCTCGTGCATTCGAACGGCCCCAAGTGAGTTACCTATGGTTCAGGTCTGCGGGATATAGATATTGGGGAATTGCTGGTGGAAGATCAAACGAAGTCTTTCTACCGTAAGAAAGACAGGAGAACACTTTTCTGCCTAGCTGATTGCGTGTGGCTTCCAGATCAAGGATATCCATACAAGTCATGAGTGTAAAATGTGAATATACTATTTGTGGTCTCTGCAAGGAAACCAATGAATTGTTCTACTGCCGAAGGTCAGAACTTGAATGTTTCTTTTTACTACTCACTGTGAGACAGGGGTGCTGTGCCAGAAGAATTTTCGATGAATGATCCCACGGATCCGTTCGCAGGCGTGCAGGGGACAAGAGCATCTGGCGGATGGGATTCATCAGACTCAGATTGGGAAAACCGTGATAGCAGGTGTACGAGATCAGACTCAAACGCTTTGCAAGACAGAGAGAAAAGTCGGATATATGTGGAGCGGACAGGTAATCAGAGAGCGCAGTCGATCACAAACTCACCAAGTCAAAACTGCAAAAAATCTAAGAATGGAGACAACGGTGGAAGGCAACTGGATAGAAGCCCACGCCAACCGACTGATTCAGATGATGAGGGGTGGATCACTGCATAGATGGGGTACAAGAAAACGTCTGGCTGCTCTGAATTTGCAGCATTTGTTTTAAATGTAACGCGCACTGGTGTTCTAGTTGCTTAGGGTTGGAATTGGTTGATCTTCTTGATCAACTCTTCCGATGTGTCGCTAGGGTCCAAATTCCTCTCAAAGCATGCCCTGATACAGCATCAGCAAAAATACTGCCTGATCTAGCAAGGAGAAAAAACATATACGAGTTCAAACAGAGAACAAGACAAACTCGGCATTGCAAGATCAGCAACACTATACAGATAGAGAACTTACAACAACTCCTCCGCTGAGCAGGTCTTGGCTTCCGGGGAGACTCTCAACTGATAAGATGCGTCAGAGAGGACTGAGAGACATCAAATCATCCGCTAACCAGTGCGTTGACCATGCCAGGAGGCATTGGCTTGCCGGTGTTGGGCTCCGGTGCCATGCTGCAGAAGAGACCCTGAATAATGACAGTCAACACCATGAAACCTCTGTCATGTTAGGGTACCTCAATCTTTGCAAGATCACCGCCAACCTTGGAATGGAAGCTATTCACAGTGTCCTTGATCTCGCCCAGCACCTGAAAGATGTGATAAGAAGAAACCAAGCACAGTCAACCCAAAAGCTACCTTCTTGGCATGTGACAGGCGAGTAGTCTGATTGTTGAAAACCTTCACACGATGAGAATCAGTCTTCCACATGCAAACAAAGTGAGCATACCTTCTTGTACTGGTCAACGGTGTCGGAGTCATCGATCGACTTGTGGATAGCATTCACTAGAGGCTTCAGGTCAGGAACAGGAAGCTGATCTAACGGCAGAAGCATACCAAACTGCTCCTTGGTCGCGATTGGGACCTTTCCAGCAAAGGACTTGGGGTCTACTCCCAAGAGCTCGAAGACGGTAGGGGGCGGGATCTTATCCACGCTCATCAGCATCGAGGAGGAACGAGAGGCGAGAGCTTCTCACCATCTGCCCCGCCATCTCGCTGAAGAGGTGGTTGATGTACTCAATGTGCCCCTCGCTGAATGCACCTGAGTGAGAAACGATTGCAAGAAGAATCACATGCAAACCTCAAGTTGTAAAAGGTGTCCACCTCCGAGTTGATTTCCTTCATGATCGCATCCGCATTAGACATCTGCAAGACCTAGATGAGTACAACAAAGCATTGGCACCGTCCATCAAATCTCCGTGTGCTGTATCACATTGATGCGCAAACCGCAAAATTTATGGAATACAGAAAGATCTGGTGTATTTGCCTCATGAGTTCTCTGTCTAATCTTATCGCGCTTCTCTTATATCCATGTAAAGTCCCTATGAAACAAAATCACGAGGACAGAACACCACCGTCATTGTTTCTTCTTCTGCTCGACACAATCAAAACCAGCTCAACATCTCTCTTCTGAATCCTGAACTATCATCCTCCACATGCTCCTGCCTTCTACTTCACCGCTCTTGTTGATCCTCTCGCTTTTCCTCCTCAACGATGACGTAACCCCAGGAATTGTCAGAAAATGTTCTAAAACCGGACAACAATAACCCTACCCTTTCCTATGGTCTTGGGTCGCTCATCACCCCTATGTTGCTCCTAAAAGTACCCCTGCATTATCAATACCGAGTACCCCTTCGCAACATGGACCCCTGTAGATGTATTCCTCGACGAGCGAAGGTGCTCACCCCTAGGTTGATTCGATGCACCCCTACTTATGAAGTATAAAATAGGGGTACTGGTAGTTGTTGTAGGCTACCCCCACTGCCGGTCGCCGAGAGTCTCGGACCGTGCCGCCGTGCTCAGTCCGCTCCGACCGTAGTCGCCGGGGCCTCCGGCCCCGGCGGAGTCCGACTCTCATCAGTCCGAGCCGCCCGGCGGCCTGGCAATTCAGTGAGCCTGAGTTGGTACGAGTCGGCCTGGTTCGCCCCGCCGGGGGCCCTGAGTCCGGCGTTGGGCCAGCGGCCCACTGCCGTGCCACTGTGAACTTCGTTTACTCAAAGTTAAGGGAACCGTGACGGTGCCCCGGCCGCCCGGCCAGCGGCGGGCGGGACCGGCCAGGCCGGCCGGGCACATTCCGGGCCATGGTGCCCGGCCGCGTCACGCGGCGGCGGCGCCGGGCGGCGAGCCTCGGACTCCCCGGGACGGTTCGCACGAGCCCGTCACCGAGGGCTACCGTACCGTACTAGGCGGCTAGGATGCCGGGATACCCAGGGATTCAACTTCCAGTTTCAACTGGCCGGGCAGTGCGCCCGGGGCCCGGGGCCCGGGCCCGCAGCAGTCCGAGTCACTGAGTACTTCACTGCGCCGGGACCGGAGGCAAGCCACCCCTACCCCTCAATGGGCGGGTCATTGATCGAGCCAACCTGACCCTTCCCCTGGATTTTTACCCACGTCAACTAGTCTGATTCTCTTAATTTTACATGGTGGGGTACACCTACCCACCTATGACGATTTCGAATATCACCCCACCCTCAAATTCTCTTACACCTCCTCACGGGCTATTGAGCCACCCCCTGAATCTGTACCCCCATGAAAGAGCAAGAACCCGGTACGTCCTTCATTGACCCCCTTTATATCCAATATTCGATGGAAAAGTACCGGTTCAAAAGTGTCAAGGGAAGCAAAGCACCCCATATACGAACACCCCCACCCCCAAAAGAATCCGCTACATGCACCGCCATGTGAGTTTGAGTGCCGTCAGTGGTACTATCCTCCTCCTCCTCCTCACACCATAACTTGCTTCTGACTCCGCAAACTCCTTCCTCCTCCTCCTTTCAACCCTCCGCTCCCTCTCGCTCCTCTTCCTCATCCTCGTCTTGTTGATGCATCTGTTGAAGAAGATAGAAGTCGTAGCAGAAAGCAGCACATCTGTCGCCGCCACTCCCGCCATCACTGAAGCATTGACATTCTCCTACTCCTTTGCCCTCTCCACATCTATCACAACAGATTCAAGCTGTACGAACTCTCTTGATGCAATCTCAGCAACATCAACATGCAAAACTACAAAAACTACATTTTGACCACCACCGCCCGTTCTATCTTGTGGCGCTCGGTGTTCTGCTCTTCCCCATTAACTTTCCACTTGGACATTGCCACGACGTCGGCACGAATTCAATTATTTCTTCGGCTAGCTTTCTTGCTTCAATATTATCCCGCAAGATCCATTGTGAACGTCACTGCTCCATCCATTCCTTCGAACATACAACCTTTGTGTGCCATCCCTTACATTCAACTCGAGTACTGCTCTCTTTAGACACTCATCTCTTTGATCTAATTCTGACCTTCAATCTTTCGTCTACTCGGGAGTTCTGCACTGAGTATTCTTCTTTCACAGGTGAAGCAACAACATTCATTTTGAATGATATGTGAATGAGGAAGAAAAGTGCGCGGTCGTTTTCCTGACCCGACAATCCAACATGTCATGGGCATCCAAAGTAGCGGGCAAAGGCAAACTGAGTGTGGAGGCTAGAGAATTCGTGCCGTCCTTCCTGCCAAGCCAGCCAGCCAAACAAGATGCGCCTGAGGCAATTTCCGAGTCAAGTTACCCTTCCTTGAATAGCAACAACCCAATACAGGTGTGTTCCAACCTTGAAATCTTCTCTGTTCGTGTTTGCTGTGCTGTGAACTCTGGCTGGCAGGAAGATGGGGCCGTTCACGTTGCTTCAAACTCCCATGTCGAAAACACCTCCCATACAGCTCAGGGCGATGTGGCACCACCTCGGAAACCGGCCTGGGGAGCTGGAAAGAGTCTTGCAGCTATTCTTGCAGAGAAGGAAAGCTCTCCTGACACTCAACAGGATCCAGGCCGTGGAGAGACTTGCGATGCAGAACACCCTGCTGATAACAAGAATCCAGTCGATCAAGACGTTGGAGAGGTGAAAGCACAAGTTGAAGTGTCTCTCTCTTCGCCAGAATGTACAGAAGGTACAAGTCAGGATCAAGATTTGAGTGTTGGAGGCTTCCCCTCGCTGGGAGCTGCGAGAGACAGCAGCGTGAAGGATGGAGGGCAGGGGAAGCAGGAAGAAAAGAAGCCAGGCTCAGATGCTGTGCCCACAGACCCGAAGACAGACTTGGCAGCCTACTTGTCACACCTCAAGGAGCAGCTGAGGAAGATGGATGTGAACCCGGAAGAGCTCAAGAGTGCTGGGCCTGGCAAGCCGCCGAAGAAGAAGACCGTTGTGCTGTCGACAGTACAGGAGGGAAACGCGGCAGACAACCCACAACGTGGAAGTCTTTTGAGGTCCACCATGCTGAGCGCGAGGAAGCTCTCTGACGTGATTGCTGTGCTGCAGGTGGGGCTCCTACTGGGACATCGAGGGGATGCGGCCTGGGGACTGGCGATCGTTGCCGTCGATCGTGACGTGGTTCAGGGAGAGAGTCCCGCATGAGCCGCCAGCCGGGCCGAGCCCGCCTCAGCAGATAGTGCAAGTGGAGATTCCCAGGGCCGACGTGGATCCAAAGGAGCCAAGCTTGGATGACTTTGAGCTGCTCAGGCTAGTGGGACAGGGAGGGTTCGGGAAAGTCTATCAGGTGCGGAAGAAGATCTCCGGTAGGATCATGGCGCTCAAGGTAATGCGGAAGCACATGGTGATCGAGGAGCTGAACGTTGAAGGGACCCGCAACGAGAGGTCTGTGCTCGAATCGGTCATGCACCCTTTCATCGTCAGGCTCCACTGCGCCTTCCATGACTCGGGAAGGCTGTACCTCCTCATGGACTGGCACAACGGGGGGCAGCTGCTCAAACTCTTGGATGAACACTCTCCCTTCACGGAGGCCCAGACGCGTTTCTACATCTCTGAGCTCGTCTTGGCCGTCGAGGAGCTCCATGCTCGCGGCATAGTTCACAGGGACCTGAAGCCGGAGAACGTCCTCATCGACTCTCACGGCCACCTGGTCGTGACCGACTTCGGGGCCTCCAAGATTTCCTGCATCGACGAAGACGTCCGAACGAACTCGTGGGTGGGAACAGAGCTCTACATGGCGCCGGAGCAGCTGGAGGGGAAGGTGTACGGGAGGGTGGTGGACTGGTGGGCGATCGGCGTTCTTTGCTGGGAGATGCTGGTGGGTGAAAACCCCTTCTACCACAAGAACGCGGATCAGATTGCGCAGAAGGTCCTCAAGAAGAAGCTCGTCATGCCTAAGTACCTCTCCGGCCCAGCTCACTCCCTGCTCAAGGCTATGCTGAACCGGGACCCCGAGAAGCGGCTGGGGAAGAACGGGGCGGGGGAGGTGAAACAGCACCTCTTCTTCTCTGGGGCCAAGGGCTTCTCATGGAAGAAGATCTTCGAAAAGGTCGATGGGCCCCCGTTCAAGAACACCGAGCTCATCGAAAACCCCGAGAACTTCAGTCAGATCAGCGAGTCGTACACCTCCCGCCCTGCTGTCCTCTCCCCCTTGCTCGCCCCTGGAACTTCGCTCTCCCCCAAGAGCCAGGTGCGTTGCTCAACCTCCCTTCTCCTCCTCCACTACTCTTCATCAGCCCGCTCCTTCCCATCTCCTCTTATCTCCAACTTCCCCACTTATATCGCCATGTCCCTTGTCCCTCCCTTATAGTTTCCTGGGCAAACAAAACGTTTCTCCTCTTGTGCTATATTCTGTTTTCTTCCCTTCTTCACTGATTCCTTCCCGGTCCCATCTTCTCCTCCTTTGAAACTCTTGGCTTGCCAGGCTCTCTTCTCGGGCTTCGAGTGGGTCTCTCCGTACGTTTCCCCTCTCCTTCTATCGCTTTCTCATCTTGTTGCGCAGGTTCTACAGCCCTGCCGTAATGGCCTCGCTACCTCTCCTTGCTCCTACCACCATCGATCTCGGCACAGCTCACGAAGCTCAGTCGTCTTTCCGATCCCTGAACCTCGAGCAGAAACGATCTCCTCCTCCTCCAGCTCAGACGCCTCCTCCTACGCACGCAGAGCCATCAGGTGAGTAGTGAATTCAACGAATAGTTTCTGTAGAGACAAACCAACACAACAATATACCCACTGCGCTCTCATGAATCTTTCATTACAACCAAACAGTTGTACATGTGCTGATTACAAGAAAAGCCCTGGAGATATAATACCTTTCCTTCATAGAGTTTACATGAATCCCTCAGATCGATTTAATATACATGATGTCAAGAGATCATGTTGCAACATTCATGTTGCTGAAAACATTCTCCTTGTCTTCCACGGCTAAGACTTTCGTCTTCTTGGGCGTGCCGTTCAACCTCGATTTCTCCTTGAGTCGACGGCTCAGCTCTTCAATCTGCTGGTGCAGCTGCTGCGTCTCAGCAGCATGCAGGTCCTTCTCAACCTGGACGGCCGTCAACCGAGCGACTCATGCACTGAACTTTCGAGTCTCAACACACCTGTAACTGAACTTGAAGGTGATAGCAAGACGCTCTCAGGCCTTCCAGTTCCTCCACTTCTCATCAGCGTCACAACTTGTCCCTTGTTCTCTCCTTACCTCTTCCTGCTGGCTCACCAACCTCTCTGATACTGCTAACTTCCCCCTAACACGTCCATCATCTTCATGCAGAATGGACAAGGACGGTGTACCATAGCGCCTCGTTCCTCTGTTTCATCTCGGCAAAGTCAGCCACGATGGTGTCTGAAGTTTGATACTCAACGAGCTGCTCTCTGTGCAGAACAAGGTCAACAAGCGATACGGCATCTCGACGCGTGCCCTGCACCTGAGCTCAGTGATCTCGACAGCTTGTCTCTCCCTCTCGACGGATAGCTCGTCGTATCGATGAGCGAGGTTTAGCGCGACGAGATCCTTGGCATTCGCCATCCAGGCGGCAGCTTGGTTGAGCTGATCAATCCTGATACAGCCAACAGCAGTCAGTCACCTGACCACTGCAGGAACTTTGATCCACTACTACCTCTCCTTCCATTCTGTCTCCGAGCGGTGAGCCTCGTACATCTGTGTAGTATATAAGTCAAGAAACCATGACTTCCCAGGTAAAACTCACTATCCCTCCCTCCCTCCATCCATCCGTCCCTCCATCTTTACATGAATTGAATCCTCTCTGTTTTTTTTTCAATCAAGTGTTTCGCTTTCCTATCTGTATTGACCGACTGACCGACTCACAGACTGACAGTCGAACAGTTCAGTTTCGAACATCCCTTCATTCCCAAAGTGATCTTCTCACGTCTCATACTCATCTCATCCTCCTTCTTATCCTTCTTCTTCGTTCCACCCCCCCCCCCCCTCCTTGCTCCCTCCTTGCTCCCTCCTCCCTCCCTCCTCCCTTCCTCTCCCACTGGCTGAGCGGATTCATTTTACCGTTTCGGCTTTTGAAACTAACGGACTATCAGCTCTACCCCCGTAATGTATTTCTGCAGTAAAAGGGTGGGGTTTTAAAAAGATAAAATAGGGGGTACGTTTGCAAGGGGTAGGTGGTGTGAGCAAACTTCTTGGTGGCGAAAGGGAAACAAGTTGACCGAGGAAAAGGAGGGGGAGGAGGAGGAGGAGGAGGAAGACAGCATCACCAGCACCAGCACCAGCACCAACACCAGCACCAGCACCAGCAGCATGAGCATAGAATATTGCATCAGCAAAGCTCGTACGCATGTCAAGACTGCCAAGGTGTAAGATGAACACACACTGAAACTCTGAGAACGCCGGAAAGAGAACGAAAGTATGCCAATCTAATTAAATGAGGGAAGAAGGGAACAGGGTCAGGGTGTTGTATGCGATTTTACTTGAGAGATATTTACAAGACCAATACAATTGAAGGTGGAAGGAATGTGCAAAAGGGAGGAGAATGAGAATGGGAATGGGAATGAGAATGAGAATGAGAATGAGAATGAGAATGAGAATGAGAATGAGAATGAGAATGAGAATGAGAATGAGAATGAGAATGAGAATGAGAATGGGGCGATGAGCTCTATTTGAGCCTGAGAACTTCACGCCACCACAGCCTGCATTCGATCCAACACAATAGAATGCAAACTGTCTAAAGTCTCCGAGAATCCTGCAAGAGACATCTCACTAATCGCCAGGAACAAGTTTCAAGGTTGTCATCACCGTTGACACTTGTGGATATCACGGGGATGCCCATGGACTTGCAGCCGTCCATGAGGTATGTCTCGATGCGTGCGAAATTCTTCTTGAGCTCCGTCATGATCTCGGCTCTGCAGGAAGAGGATGAGGATGGGACAGGGCGGGGTCGTACCGTCACCTGCTGCTTCCCAAGTTTGAGAGGACTTCGAGGAGGTCTGGGTGCCAGTGGTTGTCCAGGAAGTTCTCGTGCCTGAGCAGGGGTCAGAGCAGAGGAGAGGAGGGATGAAAGAGGAAGGAGTAGCAAAAACCAGCAGGAGGGGGAGGAGGAGGGTGGGGAAGAAGAGAGTGAGTGGGAGCTGGGGAGGCGGTCGCAGGTGAGGAGGCAGTTGGAGGAGAGCGGGGGATGGGAGCGAGGGAACAAAGGAAGAAGGAGGGAGGGGGGGGGGTTGGCGATTAAAGTCGCAGGCAGAGGCCCTTACTCCTCAGCAGTTGTGCAGAGGAGGAAAGGAGCCCAGATAAAGGGGTCGCCGTTCTCTTTCTCCGCGTCCTCCGCCTTCCTCTTGAGGTTGTGGAAGAGCGTCGGATCAAGGTGGATCCCCTCGATGATGATCGACTTGCCCTCCTCCAGCACCTTGTGGAGCTCCCCTTGCAGGCCCCCGTTGACAGCCTCGCACTCCCGGCGGAAGCTGCTGATGAACTCCTCGTCCGTCTCGAACCTCTGGTACACCGTTTTCACCTCCCTCAGCACTCCGTCCTGGATCGACGCATGACAGGAGACCTCGAAGACGAGGTCGGTCTGGAGGACGGCGGACAGATTCAACCTCTCCGCCAACTGAGTCGCCAGCGTTGACTTCCCCACGCACCCAGTCCCGATCACCATCACGACCAGCGGGACCCGCTGGTGGTTGAACTTAGTCATGAGCCTGTACCTGCAGATGTGCTCGTCCCCGTAGCCGTGCAGCCGCATGATGTTGAACAGCGCCTCCTCCATCTGCTCCTGTGTCACGTCGAAGGTCCCCCGGTCCACCAGCACTTTCTTCACGGCCAGAGAAATCTTGAGGGAGTCGGCGTAGCTGACTTGCGTCACTGTAAGGACCCTGCTGACGAGGAACCTCGAGAACGTGTAGTAGTGGTCCTGGAGCCACACGCGCACCTGCCGGCTCCGATCACTTCATGCACGCGTGCGGAGGAGGAGGAGGATGGTAGATGGCAGGAAGAGGGCAGGAGGAGGGCAGGAGGATATCGGCCTGAAACGATCGATGGGCGAGAAAGGGGTGCGAACACGGAAGGGAGGGGGAAGTGTACACGAAGTTGATGAGGAAAACGAAATTGGTCAAGGAATATCAAAGGGAGGGGAGTTAGTCACATGGTATGAAGACAGGGAGGATCGTCATGTGGTATACGGGGACAGAGGAAGGGCAGGCATTGGGTCATCGTCTAAGAGGAGCATGGCGGGGAATGAAAAGAAAGAGGGTTGGGGGGGGGGGGGGGGGGGAGGGGAAGAACGGTCGTAAGGAAAAGGGAAAAGGGGACGGGGAATAGAGAAA